CTTTGTACTAGGCTGTGGAACCTGGTGTACTTGGGCTTGTATAACTTTCTGGTCCCTCAAAAGAGACAACATCAGAATATTGAAGAAAATGAGAGTCACTAAATATAGCTTGTCGTTTCTGCCCAAATTTTATTACTTGAGCCCATAGTTACCAGAATTATTCAGGGTGAGCTTCAGTTTTGGCAGGACAGCATTAACTTGCATCTGTGTTAGCAGTATTGCATCTTTGCACTCTGAAGCCAAACAGATCTGAGTTTGAATCCTTGTTTTAGCACTAGGCCCTTATTCCAAGCCTTTTTTATTTTTTAATTTCAGGCTTAGCATATTTTTAATGCTTACTTTCTGTCACTTAGAGGATGTATAGCAGCACATAAAGGACACTGCATGCGTACCCACCATGGCAGCTTTGTGTACCCAGCTGTCAGGTGGGACATGGAGCTCCTGCTGCCCAACTCTCCAGGCTGTTCGAGGTCTGAGCAAGGGCACACTTGGCCACAGACAGGAACAGGCAGTGCAAAGGATGAGGTGCTCCCTCCACACAACTGAAACGTGTCTTTCTCCAAGTCTCTCAGTTCTCTGGTGGCCTTATTAGTTTCAGAATAGTAAATGGCTAATGTATTTATTCATGATGGCCTCATTGGCTTTGGAAACGTACTTAATTTTTAAAAATTTGCTTTAATGCCTTCATTACTGCACTCCTCCAACGCTTTCTATGAATTATTTTAAAGGCAACTGGGCATAGAGCACAAACCCACTTTTCTAGCTACAAAACGGACATGCCTGAAGTGTACGCCCAGCTTGCATCACCTTCCAGTGCCCTGCCTGGAGATAGAACAAAAAAAAAAAAAGCCCCAGGAGGCTTCTGAGGGGCTCCAGGGAGTCACAGGATTCCTTAAAGAGGGGAAAGGTCAGACCCTGATCCTGATGGCACTGTCAAAAATTCTAGAACTTTCACAGTTTAAAATATTTTACATTTATACAAAATAGTCATGTATAAAATGTTTTTTGTGCATTTTACATTTTTAAAAAGGAAAGTGGTAATTTCAAATGCCTTCTGCTTACATGTCATGTAAATAGTTAGGAGCCCATATTTTTTACAAAAACTATTTGTGGAGATTTTCATGACTGTATGGGTGTTTTCAGTTGGAGGACTTGCCAAACCTGCGTTTTGAGGCACACACATGATCTCTGCTTGAGAAAGTGGCCAGTGCCACTGTGCAGTGCATTTATACGTGACTCTGATTTGGTGTGTGCTGTGTTGGTCACCACTTAAAAGTAGAGCCAGTGTGCACAATTTGAATATATAAAAATTTGAAAATATGTTTAGCCAGTCTACTCTTCAGTACATTTTAAGTGTCAAGTGGAAAAAAACAATAAAAGGAAATGAAGGAAGGAAAGGAAAGCACTTACCGAGTTCTGTCAAACACAAGAGCTTCAGAGGAAACACTGCTTCAAGACTGTAGTGTGGTGTGTCCCTCCTCATTGATTTAACTAAGTGGATACTGAAAAAGAGCATCACAGAGGCATCGATCTTGGTGCAGAAACCACCTCTCCCCACTAGGGGAAAACAAACGAGGAAGCAGTGTGGCAGGAAGACCCCTCTTGAGAGCAGAACAGAATTTAGACTACAGCCAGCTTTCACAAAGCTGTCAACAGTTTATGGTGTTCAGCTATAAATATACCACCAAAAGCATAAGGTGTTACTCTTAAGAAAATGGCATCTTCATCAGATTAAAAAGCTCTAAAACCAAAAATGATCCAAACTTAAAATTTTGATTTTCCTTAACTCTGTGATCCGTTCTGGACACAGGGCCCAATTCTGTCTCTTGAGAACTAGGCAACCCCTGGGCAGAACTAGCTTAATTAGCACCATGGCCATCCCTTTATGCTGATAGTAAACCTAAATATTCACCTTATAAGGAATTCTAAGCTCAACCACATTTACAAATGCTCAGCCCTCGGGATTCCAAGACTGCTGGTCTTGGGACACCTTAGTGTGACATTTATGACACCGCACAGCTTTGAGGCATTTGTCCTTGGCTGGAAATGTCACACCTGGGAGCAGGCACACCCTGCAAGAGGCTATTCCCTTGCCACCCAAACAATGAATTAGGATGAGACAAAGCAAAAATAACACTGTTACGGAGACATCACTGATCCCTGCAATGAATAATAATCTTTTGAGACTTCTTTGAACTGGTAGGCAAATGGAAGAAATCTTGAGAGCTGACAACATCCTAGCTGGTAATTAAAAAAATAATTAGTATTCCAGTTTAAAATTTGATTTGGTCTTTCACGGAAATTTTCCCTCATCTGGAGGTCACCAAATTGTACTAGCTTTTTTTTTTTTTTTTTTTAAAGCAGCACAGGACAAAAACTTCTACCATCTTGAAAAACTTCTAAGCTAGCCCTTATCCTAAATCTTGCACCTACAAGTCTTAGAACGTGAAATCTGAACTAAAGGATTCAAAGATGAAACGTAATGATATCATACTTAATATAAACATCTATTTCAATGTTTACTCCAGACTGAACAAAATAAAAGTGCTTATGAAAATTATAAGTCTGCCATCTTTAACTTAATTCTTAAGTTTAGACTTACGAAATAACTCTTGACATTTATTTTGTTGGTATGTGCTAATAAACACACATTTCTAAGACAGCAAAGGAAAAACCCCAGTCCAGAGCATTCTGTCTGTGTGAAGCCAATTAAGACACCGCTTCTAGTGCCTTGAGATTCCGGGCTGCTGAAATGGTTGCTGGGGAATGTATCTCCCTTGGCAGAGCCAGAAACCACTGACTAACATGTCTTCAAATAAGATCTACTGTGAGAAGGGCTTCCCCTCATTTCATCTGGGCTCCATTCCATGAAGATATAAGAAGTTAGTGGAAATTACCAAGGAAAACACAACATCCCATACACAATTTATTTTATATAACTTGGTGTTTTCTTTTATTGAATCATACAAATTCAAATGGGGATTCCTGAATAAATCTTTTGTTAATTTACCTTTGGCAGAAACAACAGATTCCAAAACAATTAGTAGCATCTCATTTATTTGTAGCATAAAAAAAAATTCTGTAGCATATTTTCCAAAAACATAGTCTTAAACAAATGTGCTTTAAAAGCTAACTTGTAATGATCTGATTACTATCATAGCTTATTTAAGAGAGCTGTTAAAGGACAGACTAGACATGTATTTTTTAAAAAAACACAATTTTTGGTCATGTGAATGATTCATGTTCAGATCTCAAAAATAGGAAACATCCTAAAGTGCATCATTTTATTTATAATCTCACTCCTTGAAATTATAGCAATCTGCAATGTAAACAGTAGAGCAAAGAATTCCAAACTATATTTTTATGTACATTTAAACCTGTAGGATTATGTACCGTCTTTGAGTGTGGATTAAAACCAGGGCACTTCCAACACATAGCTCAAGCTTCCATACGATTAAGAGCAAACTTAAAGGCATTCTTTTTCCCCATCCTTGACTTAACATGCAGCTGACAGAGGAGAGCTGCTACCTCACTTCAGCAATGGAAAATGTTGCTGTCAATCCCATTAGACCAGCCAGTTTCTCACGACCCTTTAAAACTGAAAACTGGTCAGTATAGTTTTACATTCTTTTTCTTTTCCTTAAAACTGTGCCCTTTAAGAAGGCAACTTTCAAAACATACAGGAGGGTGGCTCTGCTGTGTGTTCATCCTGTAACACTTGTCGTCAAAGGCAGAGCTCCTGAAGCACCTTCTCTGGTCAGCCATGGCGGGCGGGCAGATGCCTGGGCTCGGCCTCGCAGAGCACAAAGGTGGACCCAGAACCCGCTGTCCTCAGCGCAGGCGCAGGAGTTAAAGTAACAACACATCACAAGGTGACGTCAAGCACACTGAAGAGATGGATGATTTGGTGTCTTACATTTCCTGGTCCCTCCAAAATGTCTAATATAGACAGCTTTGTGACAGTCTTTGAAAAAAATTATAATTGGCCAGACAGAATGACATTTTTTTCTTTTTATACACGATCTCGAAAATAGTGTCATTTAGATTCTGCCTTGGGCTGAGCTCTGAGGGCTACATTTACCCGTCAGTTTGGGTATTTTAGTGCAGATATTTTTTTAAAAATTAAACTCTGGTAAGTACTCAGGAGGCTGGGAACACAGGCCCCTTCTCTCCCCTGATCCTCTGTATGCAGGCTAGGACTTAAGCAAGCCCCTTTATGTTTGGCTAGTGCCACAACAAAACAGCCCCAAACAGGTTGCCATAAGCATGCTGGCCTGGCTTGGTATTTGATGATAAAATCTGAGACTGGTAAGTGCAGTCAGTGTTCAGGAAAGAATCTCCAGGCTCTTCTCCCATCAGCTGGTTTTAAAATCAGCCTTCATACAGCTGCTTACCATCTCTCTGTCCTCTGCAGATGACCCGGTCCTAGGCAGGGACCAAAATTCCTTGTCAGCTGAGGAAGTCCTGAAGAAACACCCTGAAGATGATGACTGCACTGCCATTGTGGGCAGATGCACCTTCTATCTACCTGAGGGCTGAAGGGGAAACCCTTTCACACACGTGAGGGAGGCGCAGCTCTGTGGAAAGGTCACCAGAATGGCAGCGGCAGCAAATAGGGCTCCAATGCACGTTTGTACTTAACTGGGTCCAAGGAGAGCACGGCCCTCCACAGCAAGTTTGCTCTATAGAATAAAGTCCTGAGCTTGTTTTTATCACAGTTAGACAGAGAATGGTCTCATGTTTCTCAGTTATCCGGGGAAGACCAGTGTATATTCTCTGTAGATGAGTGTGGTCTAATGTAGTGATTCATCTCTGCTAGTGTTAGGAAAGCTCCACTACTGTGTGTGTGTGTGTGTGTGTGTGTGTGTGTGTGTGTGTGTGTGTGTGTGTGTGTGTGTGTGTGTGTGTGTGTGTGTGTGTGTGTGTGTGTGTGTGGTGTGTGTGTGTGTGTGTGTGTGTGTGTGTGTGTCTGTGCGCATGCGCATGTGCACACTGCAATCTTGACTTTCCAATTACAAAATGCCTAAGTCAGGTCACATTGTCTTCTTCCAGCCAGTTTCTAAGGCAGGCAATGGAAACAGGAGCCGATGCCAAATGGTCTAGAGGCAGAAGGGCCGCATGCTTTGCAGGGCCAGCTCCAAGGCTGCCTTCCAGAGCTGCTCTTTCTCAGGGGAGAGTAAACTCTCACTGCAGCTGCCAGCCCCCTGTGCTCGGGCGGGGGTCACCCCTCACATGGACTTGGAATCCGTGTCTCTCTTGCTGATGAGCACCTCCAGGAGCCTCAGTTTTGCCTTTATGTGCTTGTATTCACTGTATTCTTCAGCCATAGGAGTGCGGTCTTCCTTCTGGACATTTCTAATGCAAATAAAGGAAAAAAGGGTCTGAGGATCATTTCCTGTCTTTGCTAGATACTATTCATCGGGCAAATTATCATTGTGTGTAGAAACATTGCAGTTTATCAACTTGTACAATCAGTGTTGCCAAGTGGCCCTTGGTCTTAAGACTGGAGCTGGATTTAGACAAATAATGAAAATGTTTCACCCAGAAGGCATCATGCAACTGAGTTTTTATATAATTAATCTGACATCTTGTATGACAAGAAGGCTGAGAAATGCAGACATTCTCTCTAAGTATGAATTCACATTGAGCTCTCATACACCAAAATCCTTTATTCATAATTAATGTTTTCTCATTCTTATATATTTCATCTCGTGAACTTTTAAATTTTTAATTAGCAACTAGTCCATCCACAACTTAGTTTTTTTTTTTTTTCAAAAACAGATAGTACTCCTGCTTATCATAAAACAGTCTTAGAATTCAGCAGCTGGATTCCATACTACTACTATAATAAGCCTTTATAGTTTGAGTAACTTTCCATGCATCCTATTTATATGCACAAGTATTCGAGAGCTTATAGGTCAAGCCCTGTGATAAGTACTTTGTACCCATGATCTAATATAACCCTTATAACACCTTGATGAGACGGAGCCATTTCTATACTACACATGTTGAAACCAGCACAGGAAATCAGATAACTTGCCTGCTCTTGGCCACTATGCGGTGTGCGCTGCTGCTTTGCGTTTTATGGGAAATTGCACATGGCAGACATTCAAACGTAGGCTCCCTGCCTTTATTATTAAAGGGCAAATGTGGGTAAGGAAGATAGCATGGGGCTTAAATTGTTCAATGAATTAAAAATAAACCAATCTTATTCATACCCTGCCTTGTTCTAGGAAAGGATTCTATCTAGTGGTTTCTCAGGGGGCAGGCAAGGAACAGGTGCTCAGGAATTGGAGCATCTGGAACGCAGGCCCCCGCTGTACTCTGAGGGGCTTCACTCTCCTCAGACATGAAGTCATGGAACCAGAGTTTATCTCCAAGTCCCTCATAGTTCTAAACATTTTTGACAATTAAGTTAATGTCCTCCATTGACATTTTCTTAAAACCTGGGCGTTGCATAATTCTACATGTTTCCTCGTGTATAAGATATCTGTGCATAATGTGACTTAGAATATAAAAAAGGATAAACGAAAAAATAGGCTTAGATGAAAGATTGGAAAGATACACATCAAAACATTAATTGTGATTTGTCTTTGGTTATTATTATTTTGGGAATTACTACTTAAATTTGCTTACCTATATTTTCTAAATACTCTGCAATGGGTGGGAAATGAAAAGCAAATGTTTAGGCATAAAAATATGAGACATATCTAAATCAGAGATCCTAAAAGTAAATTTACACAATAATTGTTAAACTAAACTGAAATACAATGTATTTTAAATGACAAAAATTTTTATGGTGCTTTTATTTCCCCAAACTTTCAAGAAGTATAAAAGAGGACTCAAGAGAAACAATACTTACATAGCTTCAGTAATCTGGGTTAAAACCAATTTAAAACGATAAAACCTAACTCCAATGTAAGAGATGCAAATCTGTTCCTGGTTCTTTCCTCGGGTTCCTACTGTGACTTTCAGTAAGATGTTTTGTGTGCTGTTACTTGTAAACATGAAAGACTAAATTATGCCTTAAAATTCACTGGCGAGAGCCAGCCCATCAACCAGGTAGATTTACTGCTTTTCTTTTTTTTGGATATGAAGTCTCGCTCTGTAGCCCAGGCTGTAGTGCAGTGGTGTGATCTCGGTTTACCGCAACCTTGGCCTCCCGGGTTCAAGCAATTCTCCTGTCTCAGTCTCCAGAGAAGTTGGTATTACAGACCTGTGCCACTGCACCCGGCTAATTTTTTGTATTTTTAGTAGAGACAGGGTTTCACTATGTTGGCCAGGCAGACCTCATGTCATCCACCCACCTTGGCCTCCCAAAGTGCTAGGATTATTATAGGCGTGAGCCACTGCACCTGGCCGACTTACTGCTTTTCATACATATTTTTCATTTAAACTTGGCAATTATCACCTTCATTTTTGAAATGAGCATGAAAATCAGTAATACTTAGATCCCTCTTTCCTGTGTTTCTCTAGCTCGTTTTATTTAGAGATGAGGTCTCACTCTATTGCCCAGAATAGAGTGCCGTGGTGGACCATAGCTCCCTGCAGCCTCAGACTCCTGGGTTCAAGGAATCCTCCTGCCTTAGCCTCCCAAGTAGCTAGAGCTACAGGTGTGCCACTATGGCCACTTGGCTAACCTCTGGCTTCTTAAGAAAAAAGCACTGGTGCCACCACCAGCTGGAAACGCAGCTTCCTGCTGCTCATTGTAGATAAGAATTTGATGGCACAGGTTCGTTTCATAAATGTCAGCTGAATCTGCATCACTCTTGGGCATTACCCAAAGAGCATTTCTTCTGGGAGGTCCACACAAATCCCATCATCTCACAGTCAACCTCTGAGGGTCCCTGGGCACAAACCCAAGGACCAGGTTACAGGGAGGATGCAGAAGAGTCCCCCGTTTGAAGGCATTCCACAGATCTGACAGAAAAACAAAAGGGATGGGTGTGTGTGGTGCGGCGGGGTGGGGAAGGGAGGGCGGGGAAGACAGGCACTACCTTCCGTTCTGTCTGAAAAAGTTGTCTTCAAAATCCCGAAGTTTCTTTCGAATCCTTTTCTTTTCTTCTCTCATTTCCTGGAGGTGTTCCAGGAGTTCAGGTCTAAGAGAGAGGAAGCATTGCAAGGAAATTAAGTTAAATTTGAGTTGTCATAAATGTAATGAATGTGTAACTCAACAGGAGCTGTGCAGAAAGGGGAGGCAAATAAATCCAGAAACTGCTGAGGGCATTGAGGGGGAGCGGAAATGGATGTTTTCCATTTCCTGAAAGCCAAACATGCTGGCAACAGATCCAGCTTCTGGGGGTTCCTGCTACTTGGGAATTCTTAGGCCTCGTGAAATCCCACGGCACTTTGTCGTATTTTTCTTTGAAAGAAGATGACGTCTGTGCTCGGCGTGTGTTAAGTGATGGGCTGTGATGTACAGAACCACACAGTGCCATTTAGAGAGAGAACTTCTGGTTGTTTAAACAAGACTCAAAAGTTCCCTCAAATAATATGGGCTGAAGCATATAAAAAAAGAATTTAAAAAAAATCAGTTTTATCCAGATACACCCCAGGTAGTCACATGTATTTTATCAGCTAATTTATTTAGATACAAAGGCTAAGATAATATTTAAGAGAGCTATTTTTACCAAAACATTTCACCGCCACCACCGAAATGACATACATTGAGGCAGCATGGAGATTCGAAAGCCCTGTGTCCTGGCTGCATTTTGATGGTATTTTATCATCCATTGGGGAAATAAAGCCATCAGCATCATCTTCGAATTGGTCCAGAAAGCATCGTGCACTGAAATCGGGTTTCAGAGTGACCATGAAGTCTGGCTTCACATTGCTATCGTCTTCTGACCCCTCCTCTTCTTCCTGGAGATACACAGCAACCCCAATAAAAATCTGGTCACTTTTTGGGGCACACTTTCATTATGAGTATCATTTAATAATCATTTAATTACCAGACACCATAGTTTCTTCTGTATCTACATTTAGCAATACATATGTACATTACAGATATATTATTGAATATCCGTATTCAATATAAATATACACATTTAATAACACAACGTAGCCACTCAGTAGAGAAAACAGACTGCAAAACTATTTTCAAATGAGTGTACACCATGTTAATAGTTGTCAGGATGGGGTAAGAAGGAACAACCATCATAATTTATAACCTAAATCTGATGAACTAAAAGGATCCAAAATTTTCCAGCTGTGACAGTACAAAACAAAATTCATCACCAGTAACCAGTGCTTTAAAGGATTCCACTACTTGTGTATCTCAGAGGGCTTTTTAAAAAAAATCAGTCTGAACATTTTCTGAAATAAAACAATACAACCTTTCTATTTAAGAATTGAGATTAGAAAATATTTTATGGTTGCTTAATGCACAGAATTTTAGGGAAATTTTAAGAAGACTGAAACATTATATTCTCGTGATTAAAATAAGAAAACTCAAGCTTTTCCAAAGAACTTCCAAGGGCCAAAAATCTATTTTTCAGCATACAAGTTTCTAAGAAAAGTATGCTATTCTCTGTATTGATAATGCAAATAGAAAAATAATAAAGCCAGATCAGCATTTCTTAGAGCCAATTTAAGGCTATGTAAGCCTAAGGAAGAGATAATATCAGAGTCTGAAAGATTTCAAAAGAAGTGATGTACTGCCAAAAGGTAGTCAGACCACAGAGAATAACTTACTATCCTAAAAAAATTTAAAAATTGGTTCAGAATACAGCTATATGAAAAACGGTATGCACAGCATCAGTTATTACAGGTAAACCAAATGGCTTCAATGGCAGTGCAGCAAAAAAATCTCTGGAGGCAGCAGCAGTTCCTGCTGGAGGGCAAAGTGCAAGTGTGCAAATGGTTCATGGTGAATTTTGGTATGTTTAATAATGGTGTTTCTGAAGAGAAATACTGGGAATAAACAAGCCACCAAACCAAGCAAAACAAAAAAGGACTATCATATAACTGATATCAAAGTATTGCTATGAAAGTAAAATTGGCAAAAGCTAGGTGGCTTTTCCAGATTGTCTCAGCTGTGACTTCAGATCTTGAGTCTCTTTAAATTGTTAAAAACATTTAAAACTTTACAAAGTAAAATTGACTTTTTAAATGAACACGCTTCTTTTTGTTTTATTAAGAGTCATAACAATTCCCATCGACATAGTTTTGATAAAAATTGAGATAATGTATGTCAGGTACCTCATAAGGCATACCTGAGACACTGGCTGTGCACATCAGTTTTCTGCTCCCTCTCTTCCTTCCTCTCCCCTGGATAAGGAAGACAGGGTAGAAGCACCTGACCATAACTCAGTGGAGGCAGGAATTGGGGCCTATCTGTTTACTGCTGTCCCCAGAGCTTGGCCAATGCTTGCATATGGCCAATAAATGGCTATTAAGCAGTCTAGTAGTTCAGTTTGAAAAGAGAACTACAAAAAACTATTAGAAGAGCATAAACACCTGGGACAGCTAACGAAGTTACAAATAAGAACTTAACGGCCTTTAATGAAATCAGGTGTCTAGGTCTTATCAATTATATCCCAAAGTCCTGAGAGAACTTAAAAATGTGGAAGTCTGCCTTGCACATAGTGAGCACTCAATATTTTTTGAGATAAATGTAACAAAATTATCCTTAGTAGCCTTTGACAATCACGAGGAAAAATAGCAAATAGATTTTCAAATAAGACAATCATCGTAAGTGTTGTAGAGACTGGATAGATTCTAGAAGAAATTAATACATAGATAATATATAAGCAATTGGGAAATAATCAGTGATCAACTGATGAGACTGGTTCCTTAAAAATGAGTCACGAAAACGAACCATTTTTCCTTTTCTGATAGATGTAGTATTTGGATTTCAATAAACAACCAGGTAAGCAGACACAATGAAAGGAAAGCTGGCTGCCCACATTTCTGCTGAGTAATGACTAAAGGGTGACGTGAACCTGAAGCGCAGTCTACAGCAGCCCCTGTGCCTGACCCTGCCTTCCTCAGTATCTGAGTCACTTGGACAAAGAAAAGGCATATTCTCAAAATGTACAGATAATACAAAGCGGGTAGGGATATCTGATATGTTGGAATACAAAAGCTAGATTTAGTGTATTTCCTACAGCTGAAATAGAAGTATGAGATGTAACAAATTAGAAAAATTCAAGGCCCTCTAATTAGGAAAAAGAAAGGCTGGATACATCAGTGGCAATGCAGAAGTATACAGCAAAGTGTGAGCCATGCCAGGGCCATGAGCAGTGGTTCTCAATGGGGGTAATCTGTTCCCTCGGGGACATCGGGCAATGTCTGGAAACATTTTTGGCTCTCACGACTGGTGAAGGGGTTGTGGTGGCACACTACTGGCCTCTAATGGGTGGAGGCCAAGGACTCTGGTAAGCAACCCACAAAGCACAGGGCAGTGCTGCACAACGGTTACCGGCCCCAAAGGTCAGCAGTGCTGAGGCTGACACCCTATCCTCAGACAGGCCAAAATAAATAACTGTCCCAATACCCTGACAGTTGCATAGGCAAGAAATTGGAGGCATGAAAAGGTCTCAGTCATCCAGATCAAGGTAAAGACTAGTCTTTGGTTCACTGTTCTGATTAACATCATATCCAGATTAATGTCCAGTTCTGGGTATCAGTTTTAACAGCAACACTGATAAACCAGTGTGTGTGCACACAGCAGAGCTAGGAGACCACTGAAAGGTCTGGAACCCATATCACATAAGAGTAAGAGGAACTTGGATAACAGATTGTCATAGGGTGTGGAGTGACAGTGGGCAGGGCAGGTGACTGTAAATACAGGCAGTGCTCTCAGGGAAGAAGCAGTGTGTTTATTTCATGGTGCTCCAAAGGGGCAAAACTAAGCCTATGGGATAGAATGCAATAAATGGATAATAACTATGAATATTCTAATTTCAACTATTTTCATTAACTTTTTGTATTTATCAAACCTATACATTTTAAATTACATATTATGTAATTAAGAAAGATAATTATAAAACCAATAATATAAGTTGTTAGCTATTATTGATACTCATGTAGTGAGTGACCTAACTGCTCCCATTGCTGTAAATGTTTCAAGCTTGAGGATGGAATCTCTCTGTAGGGACAATGTCTTTATTCTGCCGGAGAAGTTTTAGGGGGGATTCTTATGTTGGCTAGGAGAACTGACTAGATGATCTCTAGGTTACCTTGGGTTGGAAAATCTAGGCCTTCAGAACTTGAGCTGGCTCTAGTTCATATACAGCTGGTTCGCTCCCAAAACCATTTAAAACCAGGGGTGAGTTTTGGAGAAACCACTTAGATACAATCTTATCTGCACACACACCAAATTCTAAATTGGAATTGCCAAGATTTAGTACAGTCAAAATACATTCTAATAGGCCTGGCCAACAGGAACAAAATGAACCAAAAGACAGCACTGTTTACAAAAGCAAGGTAGTCGTTGCAAAATTATCTGAAATTTTGACCATGATGTGGGCCAGGAGATAAACCACAGCCAAAATATACTTGTGAAAAAAAATTAAGCTAAAGGATAAGAATGGGAAAAATGTCTTTTATATAAAAAAGAGTATCCATCATTAGGTTATCTTCAATTCATCTAGTGAAATCATTATTAAGTGTCTATATTTTGGATGTGTTCAAGAACACATTTTTATCTAGTAATGGTTCTATTGCATGCTGCTAAGAGAAACATGCTAATTTTCATACACACAATTACCCAAATTTCTCCAATTACTGTGGTTTCATTCTTGGGTGACATTACCAGCCAGACAAAATTTGTCTTTCATTAACATCAAGCTTATTGTAAGAAAATAGCTCTAATTTTTAAAGACACAATATAGTATACTGGCCCAAATTTCAAGTACCAAGTTTAGAGCATTTTCATGAAACAAGTTCTGCTTAATACAGTGAGCACAGTCATTGCCTAATACCATACAATTAGGCATATGAAGTATTAAGATCTGCAAAAGGCAAGAAAAGGAATACATAAAGGAAGACTTTGTAGCTTGTGGTGCCTTACCTCAGACAAGAAAATGGAGAAGTTCTCAACTGGTTTCCCTCAGTAGACAAGAGTCCCCCATATACTGAAATAATCATTCCTAACTATAGCATGTAAATGACCACCCCAGGCTCGGAACTGTCACAGAAATATGACAAGTGAAACTCTTAAAACTCACTTCTGCTTCAGGTTTAACTCTTGCTTTGGAATTAAATGACTGTTAGAAAAACAATCACTGATTTTTAAAAAATGATTTCCCTTGATTTTTCATCTCTAGAGTTCTGTATAAGGCAGTCCAGTTTGTTCAGTTGTCTAGAAACAAAAACATGAAAGAGGCTGATCCGAGTACGGGCCAGTTAGGGTCCCACAGAGACACGCTGGTCTATGGGCACAGATTCCATCTCCCATTCTAGCAAAAGTAGCCACTGATGACAAGGATTATCTGTACAAAATCCGTATTACTGGAAAAAAAATCAGGACATATGTTCTGGCAGCTATCAGTCATTCACAGCACCTCATTTGTAAATTAAGAGCAGACTTTAAAATTAGTCCTGGGGACTAAATGTGCTATGAGACAGTCAAGAAGGAAAAGCTGGAAATATTGCACCCGCAAATCTGTCAAAAACTACTATTTGTAGAAGTAAAATTTTGCATTGTTTTATATGTTTATATCTATTTCCTATGCTAATTTTGATTTTTCTAAAAACAGTATATGAGATTCCTTTTAAAGTTGGTCTCATGAGCTAATTTAAGATTTTGGAATACAGAAAATCCATTCCCCAAATACAGAAAACAAAACCAAATGAAAAGCATTGTGGACAACAAAACCAAACCAAATAATCCCTGAAAGCAAAGTAAAAACAAAATGAACGACAGCAAATAATACAAACAAAAAAGAACGGGGAATAAAATAAAACCAAAGAGATCAGCTAAATGAGGCTGGAGAAATCAGCACTCTTTACAGGGAACTGTTGAAAGTCGGTTATATGCAGCTACTGATTTTTAGGGAATGCTAGGAGAAGCCATCACCAAAAGGCCCAATCACACCCCCTTTCCATTCACCGGAGGGGAGGGGAGGAGGGAGGGAACTGGTGCGGATTTAGCAATGGGTTAGCAGCTGGGGTCTTCACCTTTATCTCCTTGAAGAAGGAAGCAGTTTCGCCCTCGATAATTGGCTGCAGCAAAGGGCTTCTCCGCTTGCTGGAGGGGGAACCCTGTGACAGGTGTTAACAAGTAGGTTACATTCCGAATCCCTTTCCCTTTCCCTCCAGCTCTCGGCCTCCTCTGACCTCACCAGTATTTATTAACTTTTAACTCTGCATTCTTACCCCTCCCTGCCAAACACTCCCAGGAAAACCTGAAACAACAAAAGTTCTTTTTCCAAGTTGCTGCTTCCCTTCAGCGCCCACACACATAAATCAAGGAGGACAGAGTACAGCGAGAACAGCACAGGACTGTATCCGGCAGACACGCAGAAGAAACCCGAGGAGAAACACCTGCTCCCACCGCTGCCCCCGCCAGTCACAGTAGCCACAAGAACACTTCGGCTGTAGTCAGCTAAGGAGAATCACATAAGCTCAGAAAGCAATACAAAGGGGAGCTGACTTCTCTGTTGCACGTTCACCCTACTTAGGGACACTATGGGTTCCTGCCTGGAGAATGAAAACAACTCCTTGGATCTAATCGTTTTATTTGTTAGTTTAGGACATTCCTCCAGAATACACTAAAGTGGCTTTCTTCAAATACACCTGCCTGAGATCTCTGGACCCTCCTTTCTTCATTAAATACATTGTTAAAAGAAATAGACAATATCCTAGGCCTAGAAATAAGAAGGGCATTTAAGGCCGGGCCAGACAGGAGCAGCGGCTAAAATGAGTATGTATTGCAACGGCAACATCAAAGTGAGTTTGTGTCTGCTTATTAAAGAGCCTAAAAGCCAGCAGGGGAGATGGGAGCACTGAAACAGAGGCAAATGTTTCCCCGAGAGACGGGCAGGGCAGAACACCCCACTCATAAGCTGGGGGTGGAAATGCTGAGACTGGGATGAGGGATGGGAGCAGGTGGCTGGGCCTTAAAGACTGTCCTGTCGCTGAAGGCAAGCTGCTGCTCCCTACTCTTGACAAAATCAAAATCCAGGAGCCAAAAGCAGCAAAGTTCAAGGATGGTGGCCACTGACAGCAACTTCAATGAGCAGCCTCCTTTCCTACACCTTGCCACATCCTCCAAGAAGAAGGGCCTCTTGGCTTGAGTTTCTCAGAGGATTTTCTCCCTGGACACAATTCCCAAGGGAGTTATCCCCTCTTGGATGGGAGGGACTATGAGCAGAGGGCCTTGGGACCACAGCAGCACTCTTTGGAGTGAAGAGGGCTGGAGAAAGCACAGCCCTGCCCGCTTGGTGCTCTGTCCATCTGGCCCAGCACATCCAATGGATGTACATGCCTTTGGGGCAAAGCATGTCCTCCAAAAGGGAAAAATAAATTCTATCAGCTTCAGATTTGCCCATTTTTAACAAATGTAGCCTCAGGGGTCTTTGATAAAGTCTTCATTCCTCAAGCTGTGGGTCATGGATACTAATGGCTGATTCAGCCACTAAAGCCTATTCTTTAATGAGAAAGCAGGTTAGGGCCCTAATTCATATATCCAGGGCCCATTCAAGCAGAAAGGTGTTGTAGCAGCCACAGGAAGGTATTCTACTCACAATGATGGGTATGGTGTTGGCTCGGGACAGGATCTGTTTGACCAGCCGGTACCTGTCATATAGTGGCTTCATCACCTGACGTTCGTTCTTTGTTACCTGAAAAGCAAGAACGAGAGCTATGAGAAGCCTGCTGCTGGGAGTCACGACCAGCTGTCTAAGCATGCTCTGGGCCTTTGTAATTCTAGAGAAACTCCAGATGATGCAACTTAAGTCTTACTACCCTCACAAAATTTATTTAAACTGATAATATTATTTATTCAATAAATATTCAGATTACCTACTTCAGCTGCAGATCAGGGGACGTCACTCCATTGGTAGTACAACTTTTTCTAAATCCAAACTAGGATCATTCTCAGGTTCCTGCTTAAAACTCCTCCAGGTTCAGAGTTCTCACATGACTATTTTCTGAGCCCAGGGAAAATGAAAGCATATATTTGCTATAAGACGTATCATGTAGGCTGTGCACGGTGGCTCACGCCTGTAAGCCCAGCACTTTGGGAGGCTGAGGCAGGCAGATCACCTGAGGTCAGGAGTTCGAGACCAGCCTGGTCAACACGGTGAAACCCCATCTCTACTTTAAAAAAAAAAAAAAAATAGCTGGGTGTGGTAGTGGGCACCTGTAGTCCGAGCTATGCAGGAGGATGAGGTGGAGAATTGCTTGAACACAGGAGGTGGAGGTTGCAGTGAGCCAAGATCACACAACTGCACTCCAGCCTGGGTGACAGAGCAAGACTGTCTTTAAAAAAAAAAAGACAAAAAACAAAAGACATATCACGTAGTTCATTCACTTCTTTCTCCTCTATGAAATTGTTATGTTTCTAAGAACAAGATTCTGGCAAACAGTGGGTATTCAAGGAACATTTGATGAAAAATACATGCACTGATTCATCTGTATATCCCTAATAGAATCTGGCACAGGGCTAAAAAATGTTTAAAGGACGGATTCTCCAGGCAGTGGGGAGGAATCACACCCAGCTCCCTGGTACAGTATTGGAAGCGCCTCATACTCTTTCTGCTGTTTCTCCTCCCCATCACACCTCCAGCTCCAGCAATCAAGTAGGTTGTCTCAACCTTCTTGTCTAATTCCCTCTACCCTGCCATGACTTCCTCTTTGCTCTTTTGTTTGGCAAATTCCAGATCGAGAGCCACTTCCCTGTGCAGCCTTCTTCCAATATCCCCCATTCTGGGAGACTCACCCATTCTCTCCTTTGTTTCACCACCCTGCCGGTGCATACCCTGCAATTTCACAAATGCTTTTATACTCTATTGTAGCGATATGTTGACACGTGTCTCCTCCTTGAGACTGTAGCCCCTTGAGAGCAGGAGTTTATGTTTTTGTATCCCTAGTAACTATTTCAGTGCCTGAATACTTGGTGGAAATATTCCATAAATATCAAATGAGTGAATAAATGGTTCAAACATAAATAGGTGTACCTGATTCACAGATGCAGTCCCATTGGTTACTTAAATGGGGAATGAGATGAAGCATCTTTGTTTCAAGTTAGCTGTTTGTCTCCTGCATTCTCTTACAACTTCACACATAATAAGGCAAGAGTTTTAGAGGTAAGAAAGGCAAGTAGCATTAGCTTTGACCTTTATGGGTTTTTTGAGCCTTCAACTTCAAAGATGACTCTGGATTATAAAGAAATGGATGATCCTTTGTTGCCTTTTGTATTTGCCTTTCTCAAAGTGATCAACAGAAAGTGTGCTTTGGATAAACTTGACAAGTTAGAATAAGATCAACAAGAATAACAGCCTTTTATTTCTTGCTCTTCTGTTATCAGATAACTAACGGGCAATTGGTATTTTCCTCTTCCACTATCTACTATACCATGAGGAGTTTTATAATTTTACAAATAATGACTGTCAAAACTAGAAGGGTCTCAAATTATTTTACAGAAAAAGACTAAGGATCAAACCCCAGGTGTCACCCGCTACACACCTACCACCCAGCTGAAATGAAGACTGTGTGCAGTGCTGGCAAAGATGCTGAACATCTGGAACTCTCCTTCACTGCTGGTAAGAGTGAAATACTTTAGAAAACTATTTGGCAGTACCTACTAGAGCTGAACTTATGACTCGTCAATTCCACTCTTCAGTATATACCAAACAAAGGTGGCCTTAAGTTCATCAAAAGACATATGTAAGAATGTTCATTGCAGCACTGTAATCCCAAACTGGAAATAGTCCCAAACCAGAAATCGCCCATATGCCCAGTGATAGAATGAAGTATGTTCCCCAAATTGAATACTACACAGCAATGAGAATGAGTGAATCACAGCTATATGCAACATCATGGATTAGCCTCATAATAATAAAGCCGAGTAAATTACACCAGACACAAAACATACTGTCAGATTCCACTTACATAAAGGTCAAAAATAAGAAAGAGCCACAGAGTTAGATGATAGTGGTTTTTCTCTGTGGAACCTTGAGTCACGGTACTGACTGGAAGGGAACATAAGCGAGGCCTTTGGAGGATCAGCAACGTTTTGTTTTTTGATCTGGGTGCTGGTTACCTGGGTGTGTTTACTTTGTGAAATTTCATCAAGACACATGTTTATAATTTGGGCTCATTTCTGCACTTACGTTATACATGGTAAGCATCCCAAATCTGAAAATCCAAAATCTGAAACTTTTTGAGAACTGACATGATGCCAAAAGGAAATGTTCATTGGAACGTTTTGAATTTCAGATTTTGGGATTTGGGATGCTCAATCAGTATAATGCAAATATTCCAAAATCTGAACAAATCCAAAATCTGAAACACTTCTGGTCCCAAGCATTTTGTATAAGGGATATTCAACCTGTACTTCAACAAAAGTGCAACGATAGCCACAAAAAAGTGTGAGGAACAGAAATGAAATGATTTGTACAATGTCATATGTAAAATGACAGAATTTAGGACCGTCGGACACATGAAATAATTTTTTAAACAATATATAGAACATGTTGTAGATGAGATTGAAGTGCATCCTAATGTCAGCACATGACACATGGTGAAATATAATGTGCAAGATAAACAATAGATGGTTGAGTAACCAAAGTAAACTAAAAATAGAAATAGGAACCAGCCAGCATCCCCACTGTGAACTAGCATCCATTAGTATGTATTTGGCAGAAACATCTTTGAAAGTAAAACCAACCAGTTACAACAAATTTGACACAAACCAATCTCATTCTTACTCTTTATTCAAAAAGAAAGTTTTCTACTTGGAATAGATGAGGAAGATCACTGGCTTAATTCTTCGGCTCATGCCATTGATATTTAGATTTTCTACAAATTGCTCATGCTTTCAATAAGTGGCCCCCAGGAACTAATCACATGTGGGTGATCTGACAAAATCCAGTGTTTTTGACTATGGAGAGTTAAAACTCATGATTCCACAAAACCATTGTCATTTAACAGAAGCACTAAAAATATCAAAGATCTTTAAGTCTGAGGTAAGAGAAAGGTGTAAGAATAATGACCTGATTTTTATCATAATCATTTTCATGATATATATTTGAAGCCAAAGGCTCAGTGATACTAAAAGTTAATGCAACTTTTACCCATCATAATAACGATCAGTGCTCGGTTTGTAAGTGGGGTCAAAATTTAATCAGTAGTTATATGAACAAAGCAGGACCTTCGTTGAACTGTCAAAAAAGAGCTATTCAATCTGCCATAGGAAAACCGTTTGAGTTGACGTCTCTTATTCTTGACTCATCAGCTGCTCAGGGATTCTGCTGCCCACCAAGAACAGGGCTCTGAATGAGCTACTGAAATTCTCTCAGCCTCAGTTTTCTGAATGGTAAATTGCAGAAATCAAATTAGAAAATCTTTATGCTTCCTAATTGCTTGGAAATGACTTTAGGCCAGGCATATAGTATATTCTCTCTTCAAAGTACTTTCACTCCTCTGTCTTCAAAACTTTATCTAAAGTGATAGTGCTGAATGGTCTTCCAATATGTGGAACTAGGGTTATCCGGAAGACGTATTTTTGCACATAAGTGAAACAACGTAAATATCCAGATGTGAAGATCTAAGGGGAGAATGCGGCACTTCCACTCCGTCTTTCCTTAATGATTCAAATAAATTGTCATTTACTGGTCTCTTACTACCCTATTTGGTTGCCCCGTAAGTTTCGGATATTTCAAAACACAAAGGGAACACTAGCCAACAATTATCCACATTTAATTAATGGCAAGTCTTGAACAGAAATCATAAAGGCCTGATTAGGCAGCTGCATTTGTCTGCCTTTATATTTTGTGATGGTTTTGGTCTTAGCCTCAAATAAAACTTCCTTACTGCAGTATCAGTTTAGTTGCTGTTACCTGACAAAACCACAAAGGTGAAAGGTAAAATGATGAATGTATTTACTTTAAAAATAAAGATAAATTAGAACTATGAAATATTAAGAGCTAGAAAAGCCTTATTTTTTAGATGATAAAATTAAAGCACCAGAGAGGGTAATGATTTGCTCAAGGCCACAGAGTTGGGTCCAGATCCGAGGTTTATGGACTTCCAGTTGTTTTCTTTCACAAATAAGAAGTAGGATCTTTAACTGTGATGATTTTTGGATTCGGGATGCTCAATCAGTAGCACGTCAATACAGCATAAAGGATATAGTGCTGTCAATATAGCACAGAGATGTAGCATTATTCTCTAATAGGGTTTGGCCAAGCTGCCTTCATAACGAAGAACTCTGCCTTCCAAGCCAAGAGTTTGCCTATATTGAATTTACAAAAATTTGTGCTTATGAACAGTGTCACAGAAACACAACTTTGTGAGAAATTATGTCATAGACAAACTATGCGGCCTCAAACTCTCCTTGATAAAACAAGAAGTACTTTGAGTTTGTGTGTGAGGGGTCTACCTCTGAATCATCAAACTGCTAGAAGGAGAAGACAAAATGAGATGGATTCTTATAACTGTTGCATTCTTGGCCTATTAATTTGAAAAATGACAACTCTCTCTTCGTTATCAGGTAATCATAACAGACTGTAAAAAGATCAGAAAATCCAAAACAGCAGTTAACCAAAGGAGAATATTTATAAATGGCTCCAGAATTTGCATTTAAATTTGAACATGGATGTGTCTAGGGTCCTCAAGGTTTAAAAACACACAAGACTAAAATACTCCATTGAGGAAGAACCAGAAGCTCTGATCAGGCAACCCATTCTCTCCCCTCTGTTTATTATCAAATAGTGGGATACACAGACAGTAACACAGTGACATGTAGTTATTTACTGCACTTCTGTGACATGCTCTTTTGATGAGAAGATTCTTAAATATTGAAAAGGACACACTTTAATAAGAATAGGGAATTATATGCCTGTGTATACATGAGTGTTTTGTTTTTATATATAAGTCTGCAGAGTGCCCTGATAAAGCAAACAGCTTTGCTAAAAATGTACAGAAGCAGCTGATTACCGTTTCGGCCTAAGATTTTACTAGTTAGTGCCCTTTTAAATCAGTATCTGTAGACTCAGAAAAAATCCATTGAATTCTGAGCACCTGCTTTTCTGAACAATTGGGGTTTGGAACAATAGTTTAACTCTGGAAGTACATGTATTTTTCTTCTAAGAAGAGTGTTGTCCACATGGTATTTACAGTCCAGAGTCCATGGTAACACCAGAAATCTAAGAATTAAAAGTTTACTCTTTGATTTGTTTTTCAGACTGGCCAGATATCAAATGAACTCTGCTTTTCCTGAAGAGGTTGGAGCATCACATTCCAAATAGAGAGAGGCAGAGAGTTTGGCACGGGACCAGAAATGAATGATGCTCAAATTTCCTACAGCATTTGTTCCCCACCCTATGAGATGCTAGAATCCAGACCCACCTGAAAGGGTGATGAAAGGAAATAAGGCAGGGCCAAGAATAATAGTTCATATTCTTAATAAGAGGGCTATGAAATGCACATTCTTTTGCCTGATTTAATCACTTAATCAGAAGGAGGCTACAGAGAGTAGAACATGTAATTGTAACAGAAGTGAAAACTATCATTTACTGTGCAAACCCAGTAAAAGCCACCCCACCCCACTTCCTCAGTGGCAGACATCCTACAGGTAAATATACACAGATAAACGTCTGTGTGTGTGTGTGTAATATCATTTCATCTCCTTGGCAATTTATAACAGGTATCTATTATATAGACAAAGCACCAAGGCTCTGAGAGGTTACCTAAGCAGCCCAATGTCACAGAGATCATCTCAGTGGGGCTGGTTTTGAAGCTGGGTCTGCCAATTCTATGTGTCTGACCCAGTCCAGACTGATTGAGGGAATCTGTTCCCAACTCAGAGCAACAAATACTACAGCACACACAATACTCAACTGGCAGCAAGGTGAAGTCTATCTAGAACACAGCTGTGAGCTCCTAAGGGCCTTGGGCATGGAAGTCCTTAAAGGTGTCTATCAATGTCATAACCCAAATCCACAGAAGGAAAAGAGGAAATGTTAAAGAAGGAAAACACACCTTCTCCATGAGGCCTGCCATACGGCTACACAGAGATCTATACTTTAGGGTTCTGAGCCTATTGTGGAGAAGGAGCATCTCTCTGATAAAAGAAGTTCACTTCTTCCTCTACACATTTTGAACATTCCAGTGGAGAAGGAGAAAGTTTCACAGCGTATTTGAGCTCTAGAGCATTTACTATTTGGTTCAATGCCTTTAAAAAAATCCCACACAAAGCTTGGCTGAAGCATGAACATTATCCCAGAGTGTCAGTATTTTCCACTGCGGGGACAGGCCAGCAGAATAAATCATCATCAGTGGCAGCATTTTTTTTTTTTTTAACATTTAAACCTGATAAATTCAGAATAAAATGCCACCAAGGAGACATTCTACAGATAGTTATTGGACCCGTGTCATGTGTCAGGTCTGGTGCTAGACACTGAGGACTGGGGTCACCACTAGGTGAACAAAGCCCAGAATCCCTACCCTCCTACACCTTAGAGTCTAGTGAATTATTCTGGAACCTTCTTTATTTAAAAGAGCATATTTTAGATGAAAAGACTATCGTATAGTCATGGCCAAGACTGAAAAAGAGATCTATACTTTTTGGCTATATAAAAATAATCAGTGAACCTAAACTTCATGCTTCCTTATACCTGCTTTCAAGAATTTGTTTTGTTAGGTCTCTGACAACATTATGAACAAAAGGTTATTAAGAATGACTGACAAGAAGGGTGTGTGATGAAAAGTTCTTCAAGGAAGAGAGCAGAAGCCTATCGTGCTACCGCTTCCCCCACAGCTAACAACAAACATTCCAGCAGTGCTTGCTGAACAGCAAGCCACCGCAAATGCTTCCGTGATTAGGAAAAGGCAAAGCCATATTTTGGATTCCTCACACTTCTAGTTCTGAATGGCAGCTGGAACTTCTTTACAGACAAACACTAGTTGCACTGCATTGCAGAGAGATTGAATTTTAAGGCAGATCATTCTAGTTTAACACCTTTCATTTTATGGATGTGGAAGCCTACAGTCAGTGACAGCTTATCGGGGGAGACCTAGGGACAGCGAAGTCTTCAAACTCCAGGGGTCTTTACGCCCTATACTCTGCCCCCCCAACCCTTGGCCCCTCCACCATTCCTTCCTTTAAAGCAGTACATTAATGACTAAATTTTACTTGCAAACAAATTTTTCATTGGAACCCAATTAAGTTCAACATCTACTAGATAGAACTTTCTTATTGGCTAAGCCTTCAGAAAGCTTAGTTATGGTGTAAATATATAGTAACCTCCTTTATCCTAAAAGTAAAGAAAGCAGACACTAGGGAACCCCATTTGTAAAATACTGAACATAGAAAATCCATTTCTAAAGCCAGATAATTGACCCCAATCAGAAAATTTACTACATCACATACCGGCCGTCCATGAATGCTTTCATAATATAACAGAGCTTTCTGCAGAGCCACTTTCTCATTAGCAATCTGGTCTTTGGTCATATCCTGTATAAACATAGGGATAGAGAATTGAAAGAGAGGAAAATGTTTGTGAACATTCCAACTTCTTTACTTAAACACATTCCTAAAGCAAGGCTAAAAAGATTCCTCATATAACAGCTCTCCCTAGCTCTATCCAAAGTTCCTTTAGTAATGGGCTCTTCCTGAGCTCTTGGGAGAAATGTGACCAGCACAGCAGAATCATCAGCCACTTGGATCTCCCACATGGCAGTAAAGGTACTGTGAACACTGAGGTAAGCAGGGCTGTGAGGCACATGGGGCTTAGCTTAATGGCCCAAGCAATGACGACAGTTATATGTTACACAGTCCCAAAGGTTTGTCTCTAATCCTTCTACCTCAGAGAGTCACAAAACCAGCTATTAACCTAAACAAGTTCATTCTGTAACCTATACAATAGAGTTTTGTTTTCAGTCTGTAGTCAAAAACCAAAGCACCCACAGTTAACGCACTCTGCAGTGGTTTCATCAGCTTCTCTAGACACTTAACAGCCTGGAAGGCTTAACAAGGCATCACCTTCCTACTGGGATTCGTGTGGCATGCCCTGTGTCCCTACCACATTGACTGGGGCTTAGGACTTCGCAGAATCATCGCACCTTAATGTCCTCAGGACGGCTGCTTTCCGCTCGCTTCTCCTGGAGCTTCCTCTGAATAGATTCCAACGTGGCTTCAACACTGGGCTTTATTGCTTTATCTACCAGCTCTTGCTTCTTCTCATCTTCTTTCTCAAGCTGGGAACCAAAACTCTTGGGAAGTGTGTTGCTTCGCTGCCGCATCCTGGGAGTTAGGTCCTCTTCAGATATCTTTAGTTTTGACTCTAGTTGAGAAGATTTCGGGGTAGAGATATGAGATTTGATGTCCGCCCAACACAAATTGTTTTTCTGTAGTGTCAATAACTTATTCTGTCTTTTTTTCGAGAGTATCTAGTTACAGTATCAGTAGAAATCCCTGAATTATTATGTAAAACCTGAGCTAATGGTAACATCTTCTTTGATTACATGGAATGTTTTCCTAACACTAATTGCTGAGAAAGCTTTAGCCGCATCTGCCTGTATGATGTTCTCAGAATGTGGCATCCTTGTTCCTTCAGTGGTTAAAGGTATTTAACCACTGGCCAACCTTTTCTGTATGACTTACATACTTTATTCTGAAATTAGGTTCACTTTGTATTCTATTCAGTTGTGTATATGACCGTGTCTCTGAAAAGATGGGAATCTCTTTGAGGGATGGGGGCCAAACGCTTTGCAGATTCATCTCTGTGTCTACTTGTTTGCTTCTACCACCACAGCAAATGGAGACTTGGATTAAACAGGTGTTTGAGAGATGTTGACTTGAAACCATCATCCTTTCTATTAGTGATCTAGGGAAATGAAGAAATGCTGCAGGATTCGCCTCTTAGCTGATCTGGTTTCCCTATGACTGAGACCATGCAAAGACCTGGGGCAGTGGTCACTCTGAATAGCTGAGAGTGCTGGGAAGCAACTTTAAGGACCCTGGAATGCCTTAGCAGTGGCAGTCAGTGGGAGAGGAGGTGAGAGACTCTGCACCTGGCTTGTTGTACAGAAGCCACAGCTCCAGAACTTTACCCACCTTTAAGTTGTCTCCGGAATTTGGCAAGGTCATTTGTCCATTTCAGAACCTCTGCATTGGCTGCTTTGTCACTGTGGGAAGGCTGAGAAAAGGAAGTCTAGAGTAAATGCTTGGGAACTGGAGCAGGGAAAAGAAGAAGTGTTTGATGATCATTTTTGTTTTAAATAGGAAGGAAAAATTGAGCCCCATCAGAATAAGAAATTAAACACAAATGTAATTCCATTATCCTTTCCATTTGGTTATTTTGATGCTTTCAAAAAATTCCTCAGAGGCAAAATGCATCTTTATGATCAGGGACTTCTGTGAGGTCCATGACCCCCTTGCCATTATTTGTAGGGTTCAACCTGTAAGGCAAACAGTGTAGAAAACAGAGGGGTATATGATGTTTTGCTCAGCAACCATCATGAAAATGCCTGTTTGCCACTCTTGTGGGAAATCCTGAGTACAGAGCTGACAGCAGAACGAGCTCAGTGCTAACGAGATTTCAGAAGATAATATTGAATTAAATTTTAGTCAAACGATTTTCATTCAACAATTTCTCCAGCTCCTGCTTACTGATTAATTTATAAAATGTAGACTTAAACTTTCATTTTTTTTTTGGTAAGAATGCACTTGTGCAAGAAAAATGCTGACACATAATGATTGGGGTTTATCAGGGTGTACTATCCAGGGTTTGCTGCCTTTTTGTTGTAAGATTCCCTAGAAGTCTCCCTTAACCTTTCGTTGTTTCTTTGAGTTGTTGAAACACTGGCATGTCCAGGGAAAGGGGGAGGTGAAAAGAACAGTGTGAGGGGACACTTACTCTGTACTTCTTCTCTTCTTCAAATCTATCTTCAAACTTCCGGATCTTCTTTTTAAGGCTCTGAATCCTTCGTGTGAGCTGGGCAGGCGTCAGGTCCTCTTGCTCATCATCGTAGGACCCCAGGGAGGAGCTTCGCCGCCTGGGAAGAGTACAACTTGGGTCAGTTTCCCCAGGAGCAGTCACTGCTTGGCGAGAGGGGCCCTGGGGAAGTGGGACACCATGTGGCATGTGGTGGTGGGGTGGGGTGGCAGCGTGAAGACCAAACAGCCTCTCTCCTCTTGAATAAAAGACACTTGACTGATCCACTGGAGCGTGGTATGTCCCACCTATTAAGTATACATCTAAGCTTTTCTAGCTCACATTTATAATTAGCAAAGTAGGACTGAAGTCGACCTTTCCTGTGGGCCTAAAAGAGCTGAATTGGAGAGTGCTTTGGAAAGGAGGTGCTAAGAAAATTCAGTATGTGATGTTGCAGTTGGGCCACAGCTCAAATGGGAAACTGCAACGCGGCCTGTGTCCTAGGACGGAGAATTTCACATATGTTGCTCCATAGGCTCACGACTTAATTAACAAAACATTATTCGCTATCAGTGCCATTCCTATCTTTTCTGATGTTGTGGGGATGATGCATTTACCTATCGGCAACACAGAGAAACATACCTCATGAAAGAATGGGAGTTTGGTGGGGAAGGAGGCACTTCCGTGTCATCCAGGTATTGTCTGCTCTGCCCATAAGCGTAGAACCGAGGAGAGAGCATGGGGTCGCTGTCTTCGTCCAGCAGCTGACGGATCAGGCGCCCAGCCTGCGGCGAGAGGCGGGCTTCATCGGAGTCACTGTTCTCCCGCTGCCAGGAGGAGAAAGCGGGGATAGGCTCTGGAAAATAAGGGCAGTAAGAGGTCAGGACTGTTCCTGAAAGAGGGCAGGGTTGTTCTTTAAAACACAAGTGTTTCCCAGGCTTCCCAGATGCTTTAGGAAGCTGCCCATTGAATCATTTCTCATTTTACAGCTAAGGTCTAGACTAAGGACACTGTGCCCCAACTGAAATCACTAACGTGTCTGACAGCCATCATCTATCTACCTCTCATTTCCATTCCCACTGGCTTTCCAAAGAGAATTTGCTAGGGCTACCCTGGGGAGGAGCCTTGAAGGGGGAAGCCCAGTCGATCAGTGACAAAACTCTTCCACCTGATGGCATCATTGAGCAGAAAATGTGCACGCCTAAAATCCCAGCACTTTGGGAGGCCGAGGCAGGCGGATCACCTGAGGTCAGGAGCTTGAGACCAGCCTGGCCAACGTGGTGAAACCCCATCTCTACTAAAAATACAAAATTTAGCTGGGCCTGGTGGCGGATGTGTGTAATCCCAGCTACTCGGGAGGCTGAGGCTCGAGAATCGCTTGAAGCCAGGAGGCAGAGTTTGCAGTGAGCAGAGATAGCGCCACTGCACTCCAGCCTGGGTGACAGAGTGAGGCTCTGTCTCAAAAAAAAAAAAAAAGAAAAAAGAAAAAAAAAAAAAAAAGAAAATGTGTTGGTGGGGGAGATATTTGGCATCACAGCTGTACAGCCTTCACTAAACAACTGAGGAGTCAAGCTAAGGAACCACATCAATCTTGAGAGAGCCTATGTATTTAGGAGTTTATAACTTCCCTTGAGGTCATCCAGTAAGCTGTTTTGTGTGCTTCTGCTTAAGTGTGTTGGGATTAGCACATTTAAGATGCATGCTTTGCGCTCGAAACTTCAGAAGCTGCTCAAGACTCCAGTTAGAGTGAGATGCATACATAAATTAGCCAACAGAGGAAAAACGAACACCTTACAAAGGACAAATTTGTACAAATCAGTTTAGATAATCTGTTAAAAAAAATAACATGCTCAGCACAGAATCTTGATCTGTCATTTAGGGAAGGAAGAAGGCAATTGTTTATTTCTATTTACTGTAAGACACCTCAATAGACTCCTTTCCTCATTTAAAAAAACCCGTCTAAAAGATTTAAAAAATAGATGTCGATGATATAAGGTATTTCATTTGTAATGTTTGCATTATAAAATGAGTTATGCTTTAAATTTACTTGTGGATTACTGTGATTTACACAAGGCTAGAATTTGGCCATGATCTTAAATTCTGGGATTCCTAGACTTTGAATCATGGAACAGTTGCTCCTCTACCTATCATACTATAAAATGTGCAAAACTATCTTGAATAAGGGCTTATTCAGGCTTCTATTTAAAAATAGATAATCCTAGAATGTTACAGCTGGGTGTGACTTCATACCTCAACTAATTTTGTGATTTCTCAATCCTGGCCGCACATTGAAGTCACACAGGGAAATATAAATGACTACCAGAACGCAGGCTTCTCACACCATCCAAGTCAACAACATTTAGGTGAGGGTCCAGATATTTGCCCGTCACACACACACAAGTTTAAAAGCTGTCCAGGTGATGCTCATGTGCAGCCAGGTTTGAGAACGATTGATCCGACCCGGCAGATGACAGATAAGGAAACTGAAACCCTAAGAGGTGGGTCTAGAAGCTAAGTCTCCTGACTTCCAGATCCATGCTACAACTTAGAATGTGCCAAGTGCTTCCATAAGAGTGGCAGCTTTGAGATTTTTGTAGATCCCACATAATAGGGAGGATAAGCATATTAATTTAAAAAAATTACTTTATATGGCATGAGGTCCACAGGTTCTCGAAATTTAAAGAGAGCTAGGTTATCTGGAAACGCAGACAAAAATACAAACATTCTGAGAAATGAAAGCAGTGTGAAAGACAGATTCGTATCTATTGAGGCTCAAAAAGTGGCAGAGGACATGCTAGTAGATGTGCTTGGCGAAAGCTGGAGACGAACAGGAGGTGTTTCATCATTTGTGCTAACATTATCGGTCTGCTCCTTCTAACTGGTAGGACTTGGGCACAAGCAGCTCAAACTGCCAACATAAAAGAATAGAAAATGGACTGAGAGGCGAAGTAACGAAGGGGGAGTGGAAAGCAACCCCTAGAAAAAATAAAACATGTCAGCTGCAGAAAATGGAGCTATTAAACTGACCAGCTTGCATCTTCTCTGTCATGATATTTCATGAGACAGCGTAATTTTCTGCAAGGACTTTCCCCATGAGAGGGAAAGGGTTAAGATGGCTCGAACAGTAATGCAGCAGGCAATAAGCTCACTGCAGAGTGGCAAAGCAGCAAAGCCTTCCTGGGGACAGAGGGCTTTGGCAAGGCAAAGTCTGATGTTGATATTGGCATTTGAGTGCTGGTTAGTTTGACATTTCTATTCATAAAAACTTAGTTTAAAAGGTGTTACCTTACATCCTGAAGCCCTTTAATGTGTTAGAATCTAGCAGAATATTTCCTTAAAAATGTTACAACTCTTCTTTAAGTTTTCAACTAGGTGGTCTCTGTGTATACAAATATTTGCTTATAAGTGTGTGTGATAAGATAAACTGTGATCTTGAATTCACTATAAAATGCTAATCATGGAACTGAATAATCATTATTTGATGCTTTGTGGCTAATGGCAGGGCCATCCATCAGTTTTCTTGTTTGTTAACACAGCTTTATTTTGTGGCTTTATTCTTCATCAATTGCTTCACTGACAGGGAGATCAAATGTGTCCTTTTCCTAGTGTCTCCCGTGGTATACAGGAAATACACAGCTGCAGTAATTCTAGCTTATCAGTGACATTTTCTCCTAAAGCATATAGTTAGGGTGAATGAATTCACTTATTTTAAAATGAGAAATGTAAAACTATATGAAATTTCGACTTTAATAAAAAGGTATGCATGTAGAACAGAAGTGAAAGGTTTCTCATCTATGCAACACAAAATGCTTACGTGATTTTCCCCTTTTCCTCTCTTTTCTGTTATTCGATCGTCTTATAGTTTAAGGCTTCTATTCAAAAGAGTTATAAAATGACATGTAATACACAGTTCACTATAACTAAGGAATCAGTAAAACTGTTCCCCATTTTAGTTTGAAATGATCTAAAAGCACAAGGCTCACATTTTGAGAGTTGGCACTCAACTAGAACAACAACAAAGAACTAAATAAGGTAGTGTGGTAGGTAATAGGTCTAATTTCACCGCCTGCCTAGAGAGCTGGTTTTGAGAATGTATTCACTTACCATTCCCAGTTGCTACTTTGGGCAATATTTTGTATTTTAACTAGCAATGCTAGAGCAAGGAAAGAGACAGGGATGTTGCAAGAAAATTATTCAAAGGGAAAAACAGGAGGCATGTGAGGCTTCACACTGGACTGTCTTGCTAAAGCACCACATAAAATAAATGCATTTTCATATCTAGACCAAAGTTCCTTGTATACAGTTAGTTTTGCTTCTAGTCATGTGTCTCGTCACAGTGAACTCTGGACATAAGTATGACATGCCTCTCTATTAAAAATTAATCCACCCAGGTCAGTTGACATCGCAGCAGGTCTGAAATAACAGAGATAAAAGCTGCATGCTTGCTACTGAAGTAATAAAAAAGACTAGGCCCTGGGGGACTTCCAGTTCAGACACCATAGTACACATGGATATAACGGAAATTTTCTGTAGAAAGAGGGACGTATCTCTGAGTAATGCTATCGTGGTCACTGGGACATAGCTACTCTCTGCTTGGCTGGCTGGATCCACTTACTATACAAAAGAAAACCGGCTATTGAGATGATTTATTTCTCAGAAATCTGCACAGAATTAAGGGGGCTGATGTTTTCCACATTTCCTTTCCAACTGTATTATTTAGAGCCATTACTCCTTGGCAAGATGTAACCATCTTTCTGCTCAGCTGAGTTAGGAGGTACCTGGACATCCCAGACATAGAAAGATATAAGCCTCATGGTGGAGGCTCTTTCCTGAAAGAATTTTATAACATTTTTAGTGTTCCAAAATTTAGAACAATGTTAGTCCTATTAAATTGTTCAATTAGTCTTGTAAACTATCAGAGTTAGGAAGAACTAGAGTAGTCAGCTTCATCAATCACAAATTTAATCCTTACATTTCATATCACTGCTTTGTCCCTGTTTGCAAAGTTAATAAGCAAGCCCTTAGTAGCTCCATTTAAATCATTAATAAATGTGTGGAACAGGATAGGGCTGAGGACTTTTTACCTAATGAGAATACTCCCGTGTGAGTTGACTTGGATCCACTTATGTGCACATTTAAGAACAGTTGTTTCATCAGTTACTAATTCACTACCCCACCTGTCTTCTCTCCTGCTTCTCTGACAGTCAGGCTATCATTAAGGCCCTGTCAGAGGCCCAGCTGAAGTCTTTTCAAATGCACCATTTCCCTAATCTAGAGTCTAGTATTAATAATATCAAAGAAAGAAAGGAGGTTGGTGTGACATGGTTAATCCTTAGTAAATCTGTAGAGGACCTAGTAATACTGATTCCTCTTGTGTTCAGAGTCATCCATGGCCATTTGGTAAACTGCGCTCTGGTTTCAAAGAAGGCAAACTTAGGCTGTCTTTTCCTGAAACTATACTTGGAAAGATTTATGGAAGATAAAACTAACACTCACATAATACCTACTAAGTGCCCATACTGTGCTGCGCACTTAGCATATTTTAGCTTATTTAATCCTTGCATTACTTATTAAATAGATACTACTGTATCGACTATTCATTATTACCTACTGTTACCACCCTATTTAAAGATGGGAAAATTAAGGTGAAAACCAAGGCAGGTTTACTAACTTGTCGTAAAGCTGATAAGCAGCAGAGCCAGGATTTGAACCCAGGGAATCTGGCTTGTAACTACTTTGATCTGTTGCCTGTAAGGATATAAAACTGACATTGTTTAGAAAGAGGCATCAGGTGGAAGTGAGGAGACTTTGTTACTCTGAATCATCAGTTTGCTTCTTTTGGCCTCAGTATTCTTATCTGTATAACAGGAAGGTTCAAGCAGAAGGTCTTTTGAGATCTCTTGCTTTTCTATGATACTTTTAGCGAATTTCCTTTCCAAAGTTACTTTCAACAAGCAGTACATTTTAGATATATGAAGTATCTTATGCCCTTTTAAAAATACCACCCAGCTCCCCAGTTTTTGAAATGGGGAATTGTTATGTTGCCCAGGCTGGTTTTGAACTCCCAGGCTGAAGTGATCCTCCTGCTTCAGCCCCTTAGGTAGTAGGGACGCCAGGCGCAGACCACCATGCCCGGCTTAAAATGCCCCTTTAAATTTAATTTCATCAGGACATATTGAATAGAGTAGCTGACTGCTTAAACCCCAGTACTTACACAAGGAGTATCCTCAAATCAACATAATCGACTGCTTGGGAACATTCTAATTATGCAACTCTGAAGAGCTTTAAATAACACAGAATAGTATATTAAATTTGTATATTCATTTAACTCTGGTGAAAGGAAATCCTAATAATAACAGTCATGTGGATAAAGCAAATAATAAAACAGCTATGTATATTTAAAAAAGATAAAGTACGCCTAGTATTTGCCAATAAGCATGACCAGACTCGGATCCTATGTTCACTTTGTGAGGGTTCCATTCTACATGTCCTATGGAATCTATTTCTTAGTTTCATTTCCCTTTTTGTTTCCTTGATGTTGAGTCCCAGAAGCCAATGAACATCATTTTCGTGTGGAGGGGCAGTACTTAGTGAATAGCCTGCTGGTGCTCCCCTCTGCAGTAAGTATTGCTTCACCTGATATTCTGCGATTCCACACGAATGTGAGAGTATGAGCTACAGTATGGGGATGGGAAGGAGCAACCAAACAAAAGAGGGGATGGTGGCTTGAAGACTGGTGATGGGGGCTTGCAGGTGGATACTGGTTCAGGTGGTTTTTGCTAATTACGACTTTCGTTTACATATTTTGTTGCACTGGCTTCACATTCACAAATTCGTGCAAAGTTTATTCCTTACTGGAAAGACACCATTTTCTTATTTTAGCTATAAAAACGGTGATATTTTAGTGATCAGACTTATTGCTCTCATTTTATGCAAAAATTCCTTTACTTTTATTATACTTACAGCTATATTAATGCTAAAGTTACAATAAGTACATAAGCTTAAAAAAAAAGGTCACTGAAAGCAGTAACCAAATGATCAGAATGGCCTTAGTGTGAATTCATGTAGATTTTAAAGATATGTACGTTCAATAACAAATGCGGTAATTGGCAAAACAAAAACAAAAAAAGTTAAAGCAAGTTATCTCAAAAACTACTTGGAATACACAATCCACTTTCCCAAGCCTATCAAAATGCAATGTATTTTTTTCCAATAACTTAAAAAAAAATCCATCTAGATTTCTAAAATAAAATGTTGGTTCCTTCAATTATAATCTGAAGGAAAATTCTTTATGTTAATAGCTTTAAGGAAACTATAAACTGGCTTGCAGTCACTCTGAAGAGTATTCTCAGCTTTATATTAGCATTATTTCAGTGGCTGGGAGAGACGATACATTTATGACTAACCAAGATAAAAATAACAAACTGAGTCCATTTTAGGAGAAAGAAAAAATATGGCTAATTTGAATTCTAACCAAAAATCCTAGTTTTTATCTAGAGCTTTAGTGTAGACCATATCACTAAGACTTGTGCAAATATAACATTTTTTTTTTTGGTTACTACATTTTTCTTTTATTTGGGTAACAGTGACTACTATGGGACTTTTTTTGGGGGAGGTGGGGGCAAAGGTTGTTTTTAACGTATGAATTAAAAACTAACGTGATTATTTCACGGTACTCAAAAATGAAAGAACATAAAGGTACTCAGGAATATATAACTGAAATTACAAATTAAACAACACTGCGTTTTGCTGCTCAGTGAATGCCTTTTGAGCTGAAAATGTCTGACAAAATCTCAAATCCACTGCCTAATTATATAAAAAGAACTAGAACAGGTTTCTTAGATTGCAAGGACAGAACTAGAGTAAAAAATAGTTTGTTTTCACTGAAGCCCTGGATGCCAGAAATGGAGTTTACTCTTTTTCACCTGGTGGTCTTTTCAGCTTTCCTCTTGATCCTTCATCTAACGTCATTAACATAACTTCTTGGATTAAAAAAGAGGGGAAAGTGGGTAGGGAGAGAAGACAAGGAGATCCACGTGCTGAAACGGGACTGATTTTTCACAGCTAAGACCCCCGGTAAGTCATTGTGTTAAGTCATGCTGCTGTATTGGAAACAGGTGCACAATTTTTCCCTCCTTGCAGCCGTCACGCACATACTGTATAGAGGTAGACTGGCATTTATTTTGGATCCATATTGGTATGTGTTTGGATGCAGACACATGGATAATGAAAGAACAAGCAGCTAGATAAAACTGCTGCAATATCCTCCCAGAAACACAATTTTGACAAGGCTACTCTCTTCTTTGCAAGTACATCTCTAACGTTTTCACCAAAGTCTCTAGAAAATCTGAAGCACTCACTGTATTACAGGCTTTCAGTAAGATGCATGTATTCAGTGTTCTTTTTGATAAGCAAATTCCTTAAATTTGCTAACCTGAAAAAAAAAAATCTATCCATAAAAACAAACATAGAAACAAAGCAAACCAAAACATCGTTCTTGAAAAATGGGAAGGAGATTTCATGAAAGAGGCAGGCGGCTGGCATGCAGCAGTGGAAGATCGCGCCACAGAAGGTAGAAATCCTAAAAGCACACCAGTTCCCTATTACTCGGCTTGGTACTATGAGGGGGAAAAGACACGCACATATCAGCGCTCCTGGTGAGTCACAAAGAAAAATAAAAGGCCTGCAAGGTGACACTATGATGAAGGGCAAGCGTATTTTCTTTCTTAGATTGCAGCCGCCCTCAGCAACATTTACCCTGAGGTATTCCTATGCCAGGTCAAGGATTTTCAGTCATTTAGAAATGCAGTTACTTCTGCATGCATAGCTCTCTCTTTCACCCACACTCTCACACGGTTACATGCCTCTCATTTGTGCTTATTTATATATGCTTTAATGATGGCAAATCATCCAAGTATCAGACAACCCTACCTTCCCAGTTCTTTTCATCACACAATGCAGTCAGGTCCAACTGGGGCACTTCGGAGACAAAGCTCTCCTGCTGGTCACCGGCATCTTGATTCCTCTGCTGTTTAGTGTCAGATAGGCTGGGATGCTCCTGGATCTTCATTGTGGGGCTCTGCAATAACAGCACAATGTCCCCAAATATCTACTGTTCGCCCAAACCCAAAAACGTCTGCAGCAATTCCACTCCTTCAGGATAAAACCTTCCAAGCCACAGCTGCTAATGCATCCAGCACAGAAATAAAAATCATGGCTGGATGCCCCCCGGATCCTAGCTGGCCACTTGCATGCAGAAAGCAACTGTCCATCTGTGCTCCTTTAACTTTCCCCAGGCTGCTCTTCCCGATAACTGCAGGCAGCTGACAGTCTTGGTGATTACTGATTGGGGCCAGGAATGAGGGAAAGGAGTTTGGTGTTTTCTTAAAGGAGTATGGCTCTCCTGACTGTAAACAACAACAACAACGAAAACCGGGCTACTGCTGTTGCTAAGGCTGTAGTAGCAACATGGTGTCTTTCGCAGGTGGACTTCTTTGCCCCTTAGGTAAACAGTCCTGCGAGCCAGGAACAGAGGCTGTGTACGTGAAAGCTCCCCTGCCAGCCCTGGCTGCTTAGATCAATTAAGCGGGGCTAGCTGCACATTCCCAGATTTCCTGTGGTTGTTTTCTCGCTGAGTACTGGGAGAACAGACTATTTATGGAGGAGCTCTGGGTATTAAAGCATTGTTTGCGCAAATTCAAACAGCACCGGGGTTTGGTGTCTCATCTCAGCTAGCAGTAAAGAATACGGACTCTGGAAATGAGCCAAAATTACATAGGGAGCAATTTTTTTTTTTTTTGAGTAAAAAGTCAAGAGCTGGCAAGTCAGTGATGCATAATTCATGTCTTACAAATACGCAACTGTCACTTGTTTTCCTACTATTCATCTACTCTGAATATTAAATACTTGGCTATACTTGCTTACACCAGGCTAGGACATCTGAGGGAATGGAGAAATCCTCCCCAAAAGGCTGATATTCAAATCAATAATTTTATGTTTAAACAAATTGCACTGAAATTAATTTTTTTTAAACCTTGTTCTCTGGGTCATTCGTAAATTCAACCACTGTCAGTCTTCTCTGTCTCATACAATTATAAACAAAAGTGTTTATGAAACAGTTTGCTCACAAATGTATTCCTTAAGTAGTACAGATGGGTACAAAAGATCTTCTTTTGGAGTAACTACAAATGTACTTTGGCAAATATACTATAATTAAATGAAAAAACTAAAAACATCTGGAAATCATAAGTGATTTCATTAATGTATGAGAAACGTTCCTATGCTTAAAGCACTACTTAAGACTTGCAGCTACTTTTAATAGCTATCCAACCCACTTTGAAATCATCAGGGAATAGCCAGGGCTTTCTACTATTATATTTCCCTGAAATGATGCATGGAGACATATTTTCTTCACATTTGGGATAAAATGAAATACCATCATTCAGGTCCTGATGAGCTACTAAAGTCTTATAGAAATGCCAAGTAAATCTGGAGATTTAAGATACTTTAAAAATGCAGTTTGTTTACTGGGGAAAAAGCCAGATTAGGCATTTATGTCACAAAAAGTATTTTTCCCTGAAGCTAAAGCCTAAGTGGACCAGGGTTAAATGCCCAAATCTAGTTCTCAGCTTTTTAAGTTACAAAGCCACTCAGTCACCAATTGTGTGTGTGCCTGGGTTGTGGGGGAGCAGGGGTGCAGGCGGGGGAAAGCAAAAGAGAGTGAGAATATGCATACAGCAAATAAGCATTTTCTCAAAAAGATTTAAAATGCTCATTACCTTTACAGACATCAAAAAAAGAATACTAGAAATACGATTTCATTTTTCAAGTATGGTATTTCCTTCACGAGGAACATACATCAAGTCATTTACGTCATCATGCCATGGAAAGGACAAGGGTTTTGCTTACAGGCAGACCAGGGTTTGAAGTGTGGCTCTGACATTTACTAGCCTGGTGCCCTGGCTGGGTTGCTTCCCTTTTCTGAGCTTCCATTGCCTAACCTTTAAAATGATATAAGTGATACCAACTTTGCAAAGTTCTTTCGAAGATCTGTCAGAAGGTATGAAGGGCCTCTAGCATGATGTCTGGGGCAGGAGAGACACAAATGAAAGCCATCATTCTTTCTCTACTACTATCTGACACCGTATGAAGACAAATGAATAAAACACTGGCGTGCCTCAGAATTGCTAGAGAGAGGAATTGGAGACAAGGCAAATACATTTGCAATTTGAGGGGAGGCATACTGCAACAAAGGATGGAAGACAATGTCAAATGCATTATGAAAACATTTTAGTGAAAAGAGCCACTAGCGTATCCATCATGAATCAGCAACAGAAATTTTGATTTGGGGGCAGATAGGTGTGGGCTGGAGGGGTGAGGGAGGACGGCACGTCACACAGAAGGAAGGAGGAATACCAAGTGCAGATGCAGGCACGAGAGCGTGGCATGCTTGGCCACAGCAAGAGAAGTTTCAGGGTGACCAGCGCTTAGGACAAGAAGGGGGGATGGCAGATAGCAGAGGTGTCAGCTAAGTAGATGCTGGACTGTGAAAGGCCTTATATTCCGGCCTAAGTATTATATACTTATATATTCAAAAAATATTATTTCATAATAGGGCTGCCTATTATGTCTTTAGAGATACAAAGACAAAACTTATTCAAAAGAAATGATTTTTCAGTACCTACTATTTGCTAGATGTTTTTTTCATACACTGGTGAAACTATGGTGGACACACAAAATCTCTGTCATAATGAGTCTTACAGAGAAGACAGTTAACCAAAAACTGTTAGGGTTCTGGGGAAAAATGAAGGAATATAACAAATAAAAGAAAAATAAAGTAAGAGGGATGTTGGTGGTAGCGGTGGAGGCCTCTGTTTTACATTGAGTGGTCAGGGATGGTCTCTGTGATAAAGTGACAGGAGGTGAGAAAGTGGGCCATTTGTGGAAAGAGCATTCCAGGAAGAAAGAAGCCAAGTGCAAAGGCTCTGGGGCACGGTCAGTTTTTCTGTGTTTCAGGAATAGTACAGAGGTCACTGTTTCTGGAATCCAGGAAAGGATGGCCAGAGCCATTGTATACAGAGGGTGAGGATGTGTCATATATAATGAGGCATTAGGTAATTCACATCATAGACCTATGTCAACTTACATGAGCTTCTATACTTCCTGGCTGATTTGTGGTACAGCAGTGGAGAGATCCCTCCTACACAAACCTACACCAGCTGGCATAGCCCTGGACACCCTAAGCACAGCACACTCCAACCGCATGTGGAAACGCACGTACAGACTGGCCCTGTCCTGCTGTGCTCCCATCAATCCCTGAGGTTGCTTTTCTTACTTGCCCAAGTCCCAACTTTTGGCCCTGCTGGTCTATGATGTGACAGGGTTGTTTTGCCTGGGGTTGCAGACTGCTGATGGTTTTTTGTGCATGTGGGTGCCAGGGAGCCTGTCCTATGTCCTATGGCCCATGGTGAAGTTCTTCAGGCTCCGTAAACACTAGCATAAAAACCGTCCTGCCTTCAAATGTTAGCATAGTCTGGGTGAAGCATCTTGCCCAGGTGCACCACCCTCTCTAACAGGGCTCTTCATATAGTATTGCAAATATTATCTATTTCTCCTACTAGATCATTAAGGTTAAAATGTCAAAGGCATTCTCAAATATAAAAATATTTTTGGTTTCCACTTTTGTTGTTTACATGTCTAATATCTTCTGTTAAATCACGAAGTAAGTAAATTAATTTCACAATTTTCAACTCCAAGATCCTTGTACTGTGATGTCATATGCTAAACATCGTCAAAAATGCTGCACTATATGAAAACACACCAAATATTTGTGTATTGAAACAAATTGAGTGTTTGGCTTTTAGGTGAGACAACATAGTATGGCATATTAGGATGGTTTTAGAGGCAGAGACTCACGTTTAGACACGAGCTTTACTAGCTGCAAGACTTTCAGTGAGTAAACGTCTTTGAACTTTAGCTTTTTTTCTTTTCCTCAAATACAGGAACAAGACTTTGTAAGGTTTGTGAGGATTAAAATGAAAAGTGTGTATAAAACAGCCTATAGGAACTATAAACAATGTTATTTCCATTTATACCCTACCTTCCTTTCCCATTCATTCATTCATACATTTGGCAAGTGTTTACTGAACACATGCTATGTCTTTGGCACTGGAATTTAGTAGCAAGCAAGATAAGGGATTTAGTGCAAGAGACAGACAATGAACATACAAGTGCCAAGTATCATGTGTGTTATAAAAGAAACGTAGGATGCTAGGGGGCAAATATGAAGAGAGCTCATCTCTCCTGGGGCCTCAGGTAACATTTCACATTCAGGTCAAGGAGCCATTAATTATGAAGCTATCAGTCTAATCTTTGCCAAGACTTGTCCCTGTCCAGCTGGACCTACCTTTTTCTGTCCTCAGACTTTATGTGATCCTGCTCTTTCTCTGGCTTCAAATAGTTGGCGAATTTTTGTTTTATTCCTTCTATTGCCCTGCACAGGATATAGTTAAGTGGCCTAATAGTTTAACAGAGCCAGGAATGACAATATCAGAAAATATGCCATATAATGCAGTTTGCATAGGAAGAAACGACAGTATTAACAGAACTACACAGAACCACAAACATTTTTTGTTTGGCCTGACAAGAAAGGAAAAGTGGACATAAATTTTCAAAATCCACGTGAACTCCAAAGCTTCATTAGGCTTTGGCTATTGGATTGATTTGGAAGCGAATGTGAAGTAAATAGAGCTTGTTAATTTTTCTGGTTATAATATTAAAACAAAGTCCTAAAGCTTCCATGAAAACAGTGAAGTCAAAATAACAGTCATCCATTTCATAAATACTTTTCAGAAATTCACTTTTTCAGGGCAAATAAGAGCCTGCACTTAAGATCTTGTGATAACTAATATTAATTCTCAGTCTTGATTGAAAAGCCTTGTCTTCTCTCCTTCTCTCTTTTTCTTTTCCTTTTTTTTTTGTTTTGAAGCAGGATAAGAAACATGGAACTAGTCTTTTTTTAAAATTATGAATGTCGTGTTTGTTATCAAAGGTATGCTTCTAAGCTCTCTTAAGCAGTAGGCTTAGAAAGCATAAAGAATGTAAAAATATTTTGAAAGAACTTAACACTTCACTGACCTTGTAATTCTGACATAAAATGATCTCTCCCAGATAATGTAATTCCCTCACATGTAGTTAATAATTCTTACTTGTTTTGACTTCTCAACAGAGATTCATTGTAAGGTTTTAGTTTTAATATTCTGGATTTTATAGAGAAGAATAAAATATTTTCATCATAGAAAACAGGGATTAAATTGAAGCGTAAAGTATAAACTCCCTTGGAAACAGAACTCTGAAAATCGGTAATTTCAGGGATATCTTTTAGAATCTAGAAAATGCTAGTTTTAAGGATTACCTCTCTTCTGGATACTTGTAGTTTGTTAAAAGAGTTTAAAACTACACAGAAGAACAAAGACTGTAGATTTTGCATGCCCAGGGAGCAGTGTGCTAGGCTCTTCCTCATGTTATCTCATTTCATATTGCCCAGATAAGATATTTTATTAAAATATCAGCCTTTCTGAACCTACCTGAAGAAATTGTACTTTAATTTTGGACATTTCAAAGTGACTCCTGACTTTTTTTCTCATTGGCAGTGTGTCACTAAACAAATTTTAATCCAAACCACATAAGGAACTCTTATGAAATAGAAATGGGTAACTATTATTGATCAATGCCCATCTGAGATCTCAGGAGAACTTCTGAGATTAGTTGCATAATTAAAATAAATTAAAAAGATATGAAATAAAGGGATAAGCCCATGTTCACTTTCAACACATACCTTCAAACAAAACACATTTAAGGCTGCAAACTGATTATTTAAGAACTGGGGTCACAGTTGTAACTTCATTTGCCTTCGAGCGGCAGATCTAAGAGAAGCCTCTCTCTGCCTGTCTCTAAAGAGCATTTCTGAGGCTGAAAACAAGTGTTCCCCATTCTAATGGAAACAGTAGTCCCCCCCAAAAAATCACCTTTCCACAAGAGCTGTCATTTGCTATGTTATCTTATATGAATCCGAGATTTTACAGGGAGAATTTTAAATCACAATACTAATAAGGACGAAGTCTATCTTAATGGCAAAGAAAATTAGAAATATTACAATATATATTCAGTAGTGGACATGTAAAATCTGACATCTCAATCTTACGCAATGAGACCTGAAACAAAATAAATACTGGTTAAACAGAACTCTAGGAGGAGTAACCAAAGTATAGACTTATTTTTCATCACTGAAAATGAAAGGTTATTGATGTTTTTACTGGAAAACCAGATTAAATATTGGGTGGTGTAAGTTTTAGGAAGTACTACATATATTAAAAAGTAGTAAATAACAGCACACTGAAACAAAGGAAAAACCCCTACAAAATGGAAAACAGTTCTTTTCACTGTCTTTCATGGATAATAACAAAATAAATTTCCCTCAGTGAAAGCAGCACATGCTTTCACAAGTAGAAATCATCCCAATCTTGTGGAGTGATGTCTTATTTTTCTCCTTTGGTGCAGCTGTGATAGAAAGGTGACATGGAGAGCTTAGTCTAGATTTTAGTTCACCACCTAATTTTATCTCCTAACCAAAACCATCATGATGACAATGATTATTATTAGTGAATGCCTAAGCAGTGCCAGCAGTGGCACTGGGCACTGATTGGTGGCTGCACATGGATAACACACATAAGAAGAGGACTTGGCACATGGAAGAAGGATGTGAGATTGTTTCCCCATGATTCATCCACTGCCCTGGGAGCTGTCCACCAAAGACCAAGGCAGACTGAGTTCAGTTTAGTTTGCCATTTAGTTTGTGTGCTACTTGGAATTTATGAGTTAATGCTATGAAGTCCATCCACAAAAGTTACTTTTATTCCCTTTTATCTCATAAAAGATAACAGGCACAAAAGGAAAGAACCAGCCTCTCCAGGAGACTGGCAAAGCGATTTTCTTTAAAATCATGTTAGATGGGAGATGAGTAGGTGCTTGCTGTGAGTGGAGGAAGATGGCAGTGAAAGGATAAAACCATAAAAAACAAAACACAACATGACACTAACATGGGGGAAACATGATCTTTAAAAAGATGCCTAGAGATAAGAAAAGAATGTCAGCTTGTTGCCTGGGTCCCAAGGAAGGAAGCATAAATGAGTTGGAAATAGATGAAAACAGTGGCTCAGAAGCTGTGGGGTCAGAAAGAGGAAGCATTCCCCTCCTATTATCTGGCTAAATTATCTAGTGAAGAAGTATATATATGACAAGAGTTGAATACAGTAGATATGAGCATTAGCGTGTGTTCAGGGAGTGGGGATTAATTTCTAGGAATTTTATGCACATTTTTTAATGATAATACAATTTTCTAAGAGGGTCTGTAGCTTTCTGATTTTTAAGCTGTAAAACTCCATGGGGGAATAGACTGTGGCTGTCTTTAAATCCCAGCTCCTAGCGCAGTACCTGTACCTAGTGGGATTTAATATATGTTGTTGATTAAATCCATCAGTGAATTTGGTCAGTGCCCAACAGAGATTAAGAATTATTGGGTTAGAGGTAATGTTCTCTTTATATCGACAGTCAGAATTTAAGAGTGGGTTAAGAAAAACTTTACTTCTTGAAAAGCAAAACTGATAAGATTGAAGGTAGGGTTGGAAGTATCTGGAGGTAGTAGATTGCATACACATACATGAAACAAAAATGATGCTCGGCACACTGAATGGGAGCTGGAGTCGGGAGAAAGGGAAACCAAATACTTGGGTCAGCATGGTGATGCCTGGAGGACAAGTGGGAGGCCAGGGAAGTAAATGAAACTTGAAGATACAGATGACATAAGGGAGGTGAGCGACTTTTTCCTCCAATGTCTATTTAAAATGAGAGACAAAACTCAGCAAACAAATTGGATTAAGTAACTCAAAGTGAATTTATGTTAATTTGAAGATTCATGACCTAATCCTTGTGACTAAGACTCACTACCTACATATTTCAATCACTTAAAAAATGCATCAAATTGTGGAAAATAAAACCAGGAGCGTTGACTTTTTGTTTTGTTTTACTTTATAGAAAATCTAAAGAGAAATTCTTGTGCTATTAAAGTTTATCATCACAAGCAAAACAAAATAATTCACAAAGGAAAATAATGGAGTTCTTATGATTTCTCAAGGAATCTTTAAGTTTGGTATTTGCCTTTCTAATCAATCACAGTCATATTACTTAGCTCATTGTCCCTTACTGACAGACTAATATTTCAGAGGGACACTGAAGAGTGTATGAACAGCCCCATCACAGTCTTACTCTTGCTTGTTAGTTACTCACCTCGAAATGCTGAGTGTGTCCACCATCTTTTTCACCTCCTTTCCTATAAACAACAGCAACAACAAAATCATAAAATATCTACTTGTTTTATAACAATGTTTTTCATCCATTGATATTATAATTTTATTTTAAGAGTATGTTGAGTAGCTCTAAGCCTAATACTTACAAAATTCAAAAACAAAACACAAAACGAAAAATTAATCAAAACAAAGCAAACTGGAAACACAAATAAACATGACTATAGTTATTTGCCTTCAATAGCACTGTGATAGATTTTCTATTCTAAGCATTTTCCTTGCTATAAAATATTGCTGGTAAATATATAGTCCTTTAAATCCATTCTTTTTAGTTCTTATAATTCACATTGCATTACATGAAAATAACCTTTTCCTGCCCTTGGAAAGAATATTAGGAGATAATTCTAAAATTACCTTTCATCGGACATCCGTTCAAAACCATCAGGTCCGGTTCTCTCATGAGATCGAGTGGAATTGAGACTTTCCATATTCTGTAACAGAACCATTATTGGTTGTCCAACAGGAATGGTAAGAAATATGCAATGCAGACCCTCCTTTCTTTAAAATAGAAAAATCACATAATATGTATATATAAACCAATTCTAGTCCTCATATTTTTATCTTTGTTTAAACTAGTAAAATTATGACAGTTTATTATATCCTACTTTCATAGAATTGTCTATTGAACTTTATCATCCTTTTAACAAAGATATGTGACAGCATCACAGAAATGGCCATTGTGCCCTATAATGTTTCTCTTAGGTATTATCCACATTGGACAGCTAAATAGCAAAACCCAGATTGTTAGAGAATCAGGGTGGGTCAGACTTAGAATTGAGGAATCTGACCTCGAATCTCCTCAGAAACTGATGTAACATTTTCTCTCTCTCTCTCTCTCTCTCTATATATATATGTTTAAGAATGTATATATACATATGCATATACACATTTATATATATTCAGTGTATATTGATAAAATCGAAGGTGGAGTATACACATATATGTATATATACATACATACATATATGCACACACACATATACATACTTAGTGTATACTGCTAATATTATCTAGAGTAACATGTAGCTTATACATAAGCTGTAAAATATCTATAAACAGAAATGAAAATTTAAGAACCTTTCTACAATATTTAATGTTAATCTTTATATTAGCCAGGATGGAAAAAGACAGAAAACCTAATTTGAATAGTATGCATTTTCAGCTGACCAGGTAGGGTTACTGCTTACCAGGAGGCATATATGTAAGATTTTTTTGACTGCCTCTGTGAATATGGCCAATGCTTTCTAAATATCATTCAGGTGACTGGAACAGAATAAGTAAGCCATTTCCTTGAAGGGAGATTACACATAAGCAAACAAGAGAATATCTGAATTCAGCAAACTCAAAAACAAAGCTGCCTTGGAAATTTGGACCTGAATTTTGTTAACTCAGATTTATATCTGCATTAAAAGGATATTAAGCATAATCCACTCATCCTGTGTCATCAAAGTAAATTATACATATATGAAAGTAACATATGTTCATCTACATATCAATAACATTCCATTATAATAAAACCCTTTACTAAGTAAATCTAATTAAGGTTCACAATAATCCCATGAAGTTGGCATTTACAACGATCTCCACAAAATAAACACATAATTAGAATAGAAAACGAATCTTTGGCTTGGTAGATAGCTGAATTATTTTCCATTTATGTTGGTTTGGCCAATCTGCCTGGAATTCTCAGTTTGACACCCTGGGCTCCATTAAAGAATAGAAACAAAGAGAGATATCATAACATAATAGTTATGACGGTGACTCTGAATCAGAATACTTGGGTTAGAATTCCAGTTCCGCCATTTGCCAATTGTATGACCCTACTTCAGCCTTAATTTCCTCATCTGGAAAATGAAGATGGCAACAATAGTTAACATAGGGTGGTCATGAGGATTAAATAAAGTGATATATAAAGTACTAGAATAATGATGGGCGCGGTGACTCACACCTGTAATCCCAGCACTTTGGGAGGCTGAGGCGGGCAGATCACGAGGTCAAGAGATCGAGACCATCCTGACCAACATAGTGAAACCCCATCTCTACTAAAAATACAAAAATTTGCTGGGTGTGGTGGCACGTGCCTGCAGTCCCAGCTACTTGGGAGGCTGAGGCAGGAGAACTGCTTGAACCTGGGAGGCGGAGGTTGCAGTGAGCCGAGATTGCGCCACCGCACTCCAGACTAGCAACAGAGAGACTCCGTCTCAAAAAAAAAAAAAAAATAGAATAATGCCTGGTACGTTTAATGAATACTGTTAATATAATTAATGAATTGTTGATGTTATTGTTTCTGAACCAAGAAAAACATTTTATTGTTATTTGTTATAATATCTCCAAGATGTTTGTTATAATGTCTCCAAGGAAAATATTTTACTGTTCTTTGTTCACAGTCAAGACACTGTCCGAAGAACAGGAAATACAGTGTTTGTGTCTGCCATTAGAATACTAGAATACTGAGCATCAATTTACACACTTAGATAATTTTAGAATGGATCCGAGAAATTAAAAATTACAACTTCAACTTTATTCATACCTCTAAAGTTTGAGTTAGAAGAGGCCTTTATAAAATGGCTCCCATTAAATCAAGAATAATTGCTCTTATTACCTGAATGTGACTTTCCTGATGAAGAGGGATGTATCTATGACAAAGAATCTTTGTTCCCATTGGTAATCTTCAATAGATTATCAGAATCTTTAGTGTAAGATCTAGTGCAATAGTATTAGGTTTTCCTAAAGCTCTGAAACATGAATTCCAAAGGAAAGCACAATCCTCTATCTTCAGTTCATTTCACAGCAGCGCCAATGAAATGATACATTCATAATTACATGTAAATGACTATTTCCAAAGAACTAATCATTTTCAGATCAAGGCTAAGAAATATTCAGATCCTTCCTGTAGGAGATAGCTTAAAAGAAAAAAATAAAATAAAAAAGAAATATTCAGAAAGAATAAGAGTGAACAGAAAATAAAACATAATAGCATTATATAAATTTAGAGATATTTCAGTTAGAAGATGTTAGAAGGTTAGAAGATGGCTTTTTTTTTTTTTTTTTCCTAAACAGAGGAACCAAAATATAACTGAAACAGGCGTTAGGAACTACAGAATAAAGTCAGTTAGGTCACACAATAGACAGCTTTGCAAAAAGCAGTTGTGAGATGTGAGAAAGCTTAGCTGACCTCCAGGTTAAAACAAGTATTAACTTCTTCAACTCCATCCCTACCACTTTTTACATGTTTTATCCGTAAGTTTAAGAACTCTCCAATGACTTGAGGTTTTGTAGATGTAATTCACAAAGGCTGATTTCCAACATTGTTCAATATTCTTCTCTAAGGCTTTTTAGTAATTCTAATTGTCATGTTATTTCTGTACACATTTGAGCCTGCTGAATATTCATTGTCTGGTTTCACTAAAACAGCATGCAGGTACACAGTGTTCCTTTTCTAAGGTAGCTGGGATGCACCTATACCTTTTGGAAATGGAAAATCTGAAGAATGTTACAACCGGGAAAGCATTTTTTTTTTTTTTTCTTTTCAGAATCAAACTAACAAGGGTAGTAAACATCTATGAGTACAGTAACAAAACTATGTATTTCCATGGGCACAATACATTTTGTAGATTCTAATTTGTATTCTTTGTTTTGGGGTTAGGGAGGAATGATTAAGATAAAGTAATCTCTCTACTTCACTAAGATGAGGGAAGGGAAAAGTGTAATGTACAGGTCAAAATAATGCTGAAATGCAGAATGCTTTTGAGAAGTAGACCTTCAGATGTGCTCCAGGTGCTAATAATACTTGTCTTACAAGAAAATATTGAGTCATTGTCTTTTGAAGGTTTTAAACTGTTTTATGTCCCAAACATATCTCTACCAGGTGTGGGAAAAGAGTAGTCCATTAATGTTTTTATTGATTAGATGTTGAAGTAATAGAATATTGTGGAAGTGTTTTATTACATTAACTTTTATTTTAATTCCTCTTCTAAATTTGGGATCTTTTAAAGGTAATAGGTAATTTTTAAAAAGCAGGAAAGAACAGATTGTGACTTTAGGTCTAATTTAATAAAGTTGCTTCTTGTGTTGCGATTTTTTTCAACCAGATAAAGCCTAGTTTATAATCCATAAAATTCTGACTCATATAAGTCCTATCAATGACTTTCAAAACACAGAATCACTGTGGCATAATTTATTTTGATAATTTTGGGGTGTCAGAGGAACTAAATTTTAAAAACCATTCTCCTTAATTATAAAGATAACCTCAAGTCTAAAAGAGCAAAAGCCTTGATAAAAGTTCATTTTAGACTGTGGAATTTATTTTCGATTATTTTTCTTTCTCCCTCTCTGTGTTGGTGTTGAAAGCTAGGCTCAAAACCTGTTTGACCACTGACTGAAGCACTTAAAAACACTTGGAACAAAAACAAATTCATCTTCTAAAACTGTAAAATGCTGACAAAGCTTTAATAGAGGACACACACAAAAATGCCTCTCTCAATATACAAACAGCTCAATCTGAAGGCTACAGGAATGCTGTTAGTCAAAACAGGTTCATTATTCTAACCTTGAGCTCTAAGAGAAGGAGAATATTTGATAGTCTCGTTAAGAAAGGATTAATGGCATATTTGAATTCCTTTTTGTACCCTTTTGTACATTTTATGTTTTATTGCTTAAAATTTTATAAGCTCATCCATATTAAAAAAGAACTACTGGTATCATAAAGGATGCCTATGAAGAGTTTACCAGTTGTCCACCGAAACCCATGCTACGCTTCTTCCACCGTCATAAAGTAGATGCCCAGCAACAATACATTTCCCAGTCTCTCTTGTGATCAGGTACAACCATGTGACTGACTGCTCTCCAATGGGATGTGAGAAGTGATATGTGTGGCTTCCAGATCAGCCAATACAATGCTTCACCAGGTACAGACGCTCTTCAACTTACCATGGAGGTTATATCCCAATAAACCCATGGTAATTAGAAAATATCATAAGCCAAAAATGCTTTTAGTACACCTAACCTACTGAATGGCATACCTTAGCCTAGCCTAAACATGGTCAGAACACTTAAATTAGCTTACAATTGGGCAAAATCACCTAACAGAAAGCCCATTTTATAACAAAAGTGTTGAATATCTCATGTAAGTATAGAATACTATACTTACTGAAAGTAAAAATCCAGATGGTTGCACGGATACTCGAAGTACGGCTTCTACTGAATATGTATAGCCTTCTTTCCTTACTCAATAGTACAAAGTGGAAAGGAATCCTAGATGTGTGCATAAACATGAAGAGGCTGATACAAGTTAGAAGAGTATTCACTTTTCATAGATGAAATGTGGGCTGTGGTTAGAACACAAAGATAGACCTTTGGTGTTATGCAAAGGAGGCAGTGGGGGAAAGTTGTTGGAGTTCTTGATGAGATGGTCTTTAGATCAAAGTGATCT